GGTAACTTTTTTTCCTTAAGCTGTTTGTCCAGAGGTGGCAGTGAGAGAAAATGAGCATGTATAGGACACAGAAAGCAGAGCCTGCCTGGAACCACCTTCATTCCTCTCAAAAACTATTGTCTCCAACTTTATTTAATTATAGCAGACTAGCTGTTGCTGCTCAGCCTTCTACCCTCCATCCCCTTCCCCGTCCGTGCTTTACAATCCGGTTTTCATCCATGCAAAGGACCACAATCCACAGTGTCTATATAGTTTCCCCTTTAGCAATGCAGCTCAGTTTTAAAGCTCAAGACGAATGGTTTAATCTAGTATTATTAATGTCCGTGGCTCATTGCATGGATGCCGAGAGGCACCAGAGGCTGGGAGCAAAATGGAATGCCATTTCATGTGGTAACATTTTAGAAAAAGAAAAGTTTCCAAAAGTCTGCCTCCATTGTTCTTTTTCTTCACACAGAGAGGAGTCCGGTGTTACATACATGTAAAAAAAAAAAAGGAGATGCATTTGTGTATTTAAATAAAATCTGTAGGTGTTCACAGGTTGTTTCTATTCAATTATTCTCTGGTTCAGCTTTCCTCAACCTGGTTCCTTTCAGTGGGAGTTGTTGTGACCCAAAGCATCTCAAGGCCACCAGGTTGGGGAAAGCTGAATTATATATGGTTAAAATAAAGGTATGATAATTCCTTTCTGACAGTGAAAGAGTACATTTGCATACTTGCCAGAAAAAATGTATTATAATGATGTTGTCCGCTCATTTGGACTTTTTCTCTCTCTCTCTCTCCCACCTGCCCCACTATCTAGGCTTGTATAAGGGTACCTGTTTCATATTTCTGGTTGAAAGTAATGTTTAAAAAACACACTTTAAAAATAGAAACATACAACAGTGAAGAGGGTAAAAAAAAAACACCAACAACCTAAACTGCTATATGTTAATTTGTAATTATGTAAAAAGTAGGTTACTGATTGTAAAATTTTACAAAGCTCCCCCCCCCTTGTAATTTGCAAAAAAAGAAGAAAAAAAATCAGATTTTTGTAATAGCTTTTATTTATCTGCCTTCCTTATTAATTAATGAGAGCAATTTCTTGTAAAGTCGTTTCCCCCTCCCCTCTAAATAAATCTTGGTTTTAAGTCTGATGAATTTCTGCCTGCCTGCGTGTGTTTGTTTGTTCATGTCAAATCAAACTGCGTTGAATGGAAATTTCCAAAGCCCTTCCTTTGAACGCCTGGATTGGATACTTCATTTTCTTCCCATGCAGCAAAGGAAGAGAGGAAGGAAAATGTAAGTGCCCACAGTGAGGGTGGTAGGGATGCCTTCATGAGGCTCTGGGTAAGGAAGAAATAAAGAACATAACAAGAGGCCTGCTGGATGAGGCCCAAATGTCCATCTAGACCAGAATCGTGTCTTCACCGTGGCCAGGGGGGACGGGCTGTCATTGGCGGCCATTTTGTGCTGGCACCTACAGCACCTTTATCAAAGAGTACGGGCACCTCATTTCTTCAACCAAAAATAAAAGCATTGCCTACGGGCCTCTGCTTGGCTGCTGTGGGAACGGGGGGCTGGATGAGATGGGCCTTGGGTGTGATGTAGTAGGGCTCTTCATAAGTCCTTATGGACCACAACAACTCCCCACTGGAAGAGTGCTTTTAGGCCATAGGAAACTGCCTTAGGTTCATCAGTGCATCTGGTTCTGGACTGTGTCTGAATACCAGTCTCTGGGGATCACAAATGTGGGGTTTTTGCTGCTCTTGTTGGGTTTCCCAGAGGTTGGCTGCTGTGAGAATAGGCTGCTGGGCCTTTGATCTAAACCAGCAGGGCTTTCCTTATGCTGAGCTCTTGGCTCAGTTCCACTCTAATGCTTCACTCCTTTCCCTTGTACTCTTTGTGTGTGTGTGTGTGTGTGTGTGTGTGTGTGTAACCTGGGTTAACCCCTTGAGCTGGGTTTTAGAGGCCTCTTTTTGTCGATGGAAGGGAGCCAGTGGTGGAGCGTATCACCTTTGCCTAGGAGAGCCGAGGACACGAAGAATGCTGGCAGCGTGAAGATGGGATTATTAGTTCAAGCAGGCGGCTGTTGGGTTTGCTGGAAATGACAGCTGCTTTGGTTGTGACCGTGCCACAAGTTGCTCAACTTGGGATTCACGTGGTTGTTTCGCGAGGCAGTCAGTCCCTAGCTTTGCTTCTTCTAATGGACCCTGATAAAAGGGAAAAAATGAGCGTGGACAACGCCATTTTGTCCTCCTCTTTTCCGTGTAATTCTTGCACAGCGTAGGACGTTCATACTTTAGAAACCCAGCGCACAGAGCAAACCTTGAAATCGATGAATTTGCAGCCCTTCTTCTCACTGCTGCTTGGTAATGAGCTGGCAAAATTGGAGACTAATAGGCTTGGGCTATGAATTTTCACTGCTGGTAATATTCATCTTTTTATTACGAATCTCACTTTTACTCTGTAACTAATGAGACGCATATGATGTCCTGATTTGGGGCCTCCACGGTCAGTATTCTTGGTGTCGCATAACATGCCAGCACTCTTAACTAACTAGTTTCCAGGATTATTTGCCAGGCTGGGGGTGGGGTGCTGGCAATGTCTATTGAAGTAGTCTCATTGTGTTTTCAGTGTACAGTGGTAACTCGGGTTAAGTACTTAATTCGTTCCGGAGGTCTGGTCTGAACCTGAAACTGTTCTTAACCTGAAGCACCACTTTAGCTAATGGGGCCTCCTGCTGCTACCGCGCCACCAGAGCCCGATTTCTGTTCTTATCCTGAAGCAAAGTTCTGAACCTGAAGTACTATTTCTGGGTTAGCGGAGTCTGTAACCTGAAGCGTATGTAACCCGAGGTACCACTGTATGTTGCAAATGGGGCCTAGTACAGCAGTGGCCATCTCACGCTTCTGTGCATCATGGGAGATAAATTTGAGCAGGCTGATCTGACAGGACAAGATGGCCATACTCTGCTACACTCATGTCCCAGGAAGGATGCCAAAGATTGATCCCTCTTTTCAGTCAACCTGGACTTGGGGCATGAGAAAGGGGTAAGCAGTTGACCCTGAAAGGCAGACAACCCATCATTGTTTACAAAATGCTCTTTGTTTTCAGCCTGGAGAATAAATCTGGGGCTGGGTATTAGCATGCAGCGTTTCTTTCCCCCTCCCCAAAGCATTAACCAAAATGTCCCTCAGGCTGAACCTTATTATTCAGCTCTCGCAAAGGCTCTTTTGTGCCCCCCTCCTACTTAATCCCTTAGCAACAGACTGTGGGGGGCTACTCTTGCTTTTGCCAATCGCCTCTGAATTGGATTTTTGGGCCAACACCAGTCTAAAGATTAAAGAGGAACAAATAACTTCTCATTCTTTTGTCCTCCAAAGTGATCCAGTAACACCCCCTTCCCCCAACCTTCTCCCTGCCCAGGGCCTTTCAAGGGAGAAGAGAAAAACTAGCTTTAAAAGACCCAAAACGTGAATCTGTTGTTTGTCTTTTGCAATGCACCCAAGTCCCCTTTTTGAATTATTTTACCTGTGCAATTATCTGATTTGTAAACTGCTTAGGAGCCTATTTGAGCATTCAGTGACATATAAATAAATGTATTTATTTATCTTGTGTTTTGTACGATCATAAAAACAAAACAAAACCCCAAACACATAGGTGCTTGCTTAAATTCTTTGCAGAGGAATGTTAATCTTTGCATGCAGAATCTTGGAAATTAAATATGTTTGCATGTGTTTGAATTCCTTTGCATAATTTAAACTACCTCTTCAGATTTAGGGTGTTTTTTTAAAAAGAATAATAATGTGTTTGTATAAAATAAATAATTACAAAGAGAGGAGTGCAGAAGTAGCTCCATAGAAGAGGAACAGAGAACAGAGAGGGGATCCAAGAGATCCAGGAATCTTAGGTGATATAAATGGTTTCCCCCCCACTCCCATCCCCATGTTGTCCTCACAACTTTGTAAGGTAGGTGAAGCTGAGAGATGGTCCAGGTTTTCCCAGTAAACTTCAGAGCCGAGTAGAGATTTGAACCCAGGTCCCTTTCCTACTCCATCCTAGCCCAGCTACATGACACAGGCTCCCATCTTTGCAGCACAGGAGTGGGACACTTGAGTGACATTTGTAGGGGGTACCAATGACAAAATGGTTATTGTAGAGCAGGGGTAGGCAACCTAAGGCCCGGGGGCAGGATGCGGCCCAATCGCCTTCTCAATCCGGCCTGCAGACGGACCGGGAACTACCGTGTTTTTACACAAGTAGAATGTGTGCTTTTATTTAAAATGCATCTCTGGGTTATTTGTGGGGCATAGGAATTTGTTCATTATTATTTTTCAAAATATAGTCTGTCCCACTACATGGTCTGACGGTGGACTGGCCCATGGCTGGAAAAGTTTGCTGACCCCTGTTGTAGAGTGTGTGGCATAATATAAAATGGAAGCCACACCTAAAGGAGCAGACCAGAGGACAAAAGGGTGCAGTCGTCCCATCAATAGGAAAAAGGAGCTACCACTACGCTCACTCACAGAGAAGCTATTTGACGTCTATGGAAGAAAGGGTGGGTGCCCAATCCTGGCATCTGGTGAAATGTGGGCACATTTAATGCATGATAGGCTGAGTGCCGGTGCAAACAGGAACAGAGTAGGGAGAGCCAAATCGTGAGCTGTGTATTTTTGAGGGCATATTTCATGGGTGCTGAAGGAGGTCCTGGCAGGGACAATGAGGCGTTGTGGGCACCAGGGGAAGAGCTCAAAGGTGCCCCTGTGCCCACAGAGGTTGCCTATGTACAAGGGCTTAACTCTAACCCTCCCAGGTTCTGCAGCAGGGCCTCAGTATTTGTCCCTCTTCCCACCCAACCTCGCTTTTGTCAGTGTTGCATTGCTTCATTCGATTTCTGCGGCGGTGTTTTGCAGGCTGTACCGTACCAGGGAACAGTGTGTTTGTAATTACCGTTTCACTAGCCCTGTCATTATCCCTACATCAGGTGTACTTCAAAAAGAAGCGGCCCCGTCCAAAGCAGACAGCTTCCCAAAGAACTTTTATTAAAATTGTCAGAACTCCTGGGGAACCATCAAAGTAGTACAAAGGAAGACGTGTTTCTTTTTTCCAAAACGACTCAACGCAAATCTAGCCCTTGCAGAGGTGCCTGTGCTTCATTCATGTGGTGCAGCCGAGAGACGAGTTTCTGAAGTCCTCGAAAGGCTTCCTTTGTCTGAAGAAAGATGCTGAGGCTTTTCAGTCCCTTCCCTTACTGGGCTCTCTTCCAAACCCAGCCGATGCCAATATGGCACCCGTGTGACGCTGGCAAAGCTGCCGCCATCGAAGGATGTCCACAGTGTGTAGCTCCCTTTACCTTTGAGTGAACCAATATGATTTGCTCAGGCTCCCCATCAATCCATCCATCCATACTTCTTGGAGCAGCCTGACATCCCTCCCCATACTGAGGCAGCGAGAGGAATGAGCCCTGTGGGAGGCAGTAGACAGCAAAGCCAGTAGCCACTTGTGCAGATTCCAGTATCACTACTGACATACAAATTCAGTGTCGCTATCTGTGGGGAGAGAGGGAATAACACATTAATAACCTGACCCCACAACTACTTATGTGCTCCCTTGAGTCCAAAGTATCTGGAGGACACCCGGATGGGGGAGGCCTCTTGTTTCCAGAAAGGCTTTTTGGACAATAAACTAAAGCTTGCAGGAACCACCTCAGAGAAATGGACTGCCCAATCCTCGTTCTCTCGGTCCGCCTCCCAGTCACCTACCAACAGTGGGACTATTTGCTTTCCTTCTCCCAGCTATCTGATCTCATGTGTCAGCGCAGCAGCTGGCAATTTGAGCACCAGCAAACTGAGCTGCCCTCTGCGAAGCAAAATGGCACCAGTCCAGAGCTAGCCCTCCATCTTGTGTCCAGAGATTAGAACTGCATAGCAACTGAGTCCCGTCGCTAGGGTGGCGCCTTATGTATATCCAAAAGAAGTTGTCAGAAGACCACGGGGATTTGCATTAAATGTGCTCATTTTTTTAGCCATGGACAAACCTTTGGAAATAATTACTATAATATAAATGGAAATGCCCATTTAAGGAGGACTCTGACCAGGTGCCCTGTTGGCCAGCTCAGTCTGCTTTTCAGGTGCAAACTCTGGATGTGCAACTTAAAGGCCCCTGCTCCCTTCCCTTCTTAGGGGTTAATTTGATGTTTTTTTTCTGTTTTTTTCTGTTGGGAGCCACCCAGAGTAGCTGGGGAAACCCAGCCGGATTGGGGGGGGGTTTATAAATATTATTATTATTATTGTTGTTGTTGTTGTTGTTGTTATATCTCAGGGATGGGTGACCTGTGGCCCTCCAGATGTTGATGGACTCCAGCTCCCATCATCCCCAGCCAGCAGGGTAAAAACATCTGGAAGACCACAAATTTCCCATCACTGTTTCAGAAGTTACTGTGAGGCCTAGCTCTTTGTCACAGCATTTAGATCTTCAGGACTATGTTGCTTCAGGACCTGTATTTTACGCCAAGTGCTACTCTTTTTCATGTTTTTAATTATACGTCTTGTCATTTTACTTGTGTGTGTTGTGTCTGGGTTGTTTGCCGCCTTAAGCACAGGCAGAAGAGCTGAATGCAAGTTCAGTAAATTTTGTTTTTGCTAACAACGCCCCCCCCCATCCATTTAGTTTGTTTAGTTCTAACAAACTAAAACTTCTCTTGTTCCAGTCAGCATAACTTCATTTTGCACATGCTCAGAGTCACTGGGCTGAGGGGGCCAGAATCTTTCAAATCAAAAAGCTGGCAACATGCCGTTGATATGAACTGTTTGAGTGACTTAGTAAGTTTGCGAAGGGTACTGAGAGTTGTGAGAAGACCCCTATTCCCTTCAAAGAAGTACAATTCGGAGTGTGGTTTAACAACCAATTCCTCTTCCTGGGGAACCCTGGGAATTGTTAAGTGTGGGGCGAATGGGGGGGTTGCCTCCTAAGCACTCGCAGCACCCATGACAAACTACAGTTCCCAGGATTCTTTGAGGGAAGCCATGGCTATTTAAAGTGGAAGGATACTGCTTTAAGTGCACCGTGCAGATGGGGTTGAATGCTGTGTATTCTGTGGCTTCTGCGGGGGATTATATGCTCCTAGTCCTCATCAGACCATTGGGAGTTTATTTGGTTTTTTTTAAATGCAAACGAATATATCTTCTGCATACCTGGAGAGTTCCCTGGAGTATTCAGAAACCCCTACTCAAGATGCTGGGCACAGGACCATCATGTTAGGAACGAGTCGGGTTGCCCTTTTTTTCTTATTGCTGCGTAAGAGTGCTCTGTGCTGGTGCTTGTGTCGTACCTATGATTTCAATCCAGGCTTGGCTAGAGCTTGGTTTGCACAACACCTTGTTTCCAAAAGGCAACCACTCCCACCCAGCTTGGCTTGATAAACAGGCTCTGGAGACAGCCATCTGCTCGGCAGAACCAGCCCGTTTTCTGTAGCCAGTCTTCTCCCACCCAGGTTACAGAGGACAATCCAGTTAATTCCTCCTTGCGAGGCAATGCACCTCAAGCCCAACGACGTGGATTCGCAGCAGCTGAGGAATGTTGAGGTGACGATTGGCTGAACTGCTCTGATGTCAGAGGAGGACAGGGCTCTAGATTTTGTTAGCGGAACTGCTCTAAAACTAAAGGCCCTTTGGCTCTTTGTTGGATGAGCTTGTGTGGAAGCTACCAAGGAGTAGAGCAGGTGAGGAAGGGTAGAAAAGGAGGAGTCTAGAAAAGGAAGAGGATGCAAGACAAAGGGAGCCTAAAATGGATGGAAAGGGAAAGGAAATCTGGGATGCCGAGAGCTGTCAGTCACACACGTTGAAGTCCCTGACAGCCAAAGAACTGAGCAACACAAGATCCCCCTCCATCTAGGTGAGGACTGCTGGAGGCTCTCAGTGGATACTAGATGGGGAAGGGCTGTAGCTCAGTGGTAGAGCTTCTGCTTTGCATGCACAGGGTCCCAGGTTCAATCCCCAGCATCTCCAGGTAAGACTGGGAATATTCCCGGCCTGAAACCCTGGAGAGTTTCCTCTGTCAGATGCAGTATGCTTTGGCAAACCAGTATACCTGAAGGAGCATCTCCACCTCCATCGTTCAGCCCAGACACTGAGATCCAGCACCAAGGGCCTTCTGGCGGCTCCCTCCCTGTGAGAAGCAAAGTTACAGGGAACCAGGCAGAGGGCCTTCTTGGTAGTGGCACCCACCCTGTGGAATGCCCTCCCTTCAGATGACAAGGAAATAAACAACTACCTGACTTTTAGAAGACATCTAAAGACAGCCCTGTTTAGGGAAGTTTTTAATGTTTGATGAATTATTGTATTTTAATATTTTGCTGGAAGCCACCCAGAGTGGCTGGGGAAACCCAGCCAGATGGGTGGGGTATAAATTATCATCATCAACACCATCATTATTTTATTATTATAATTGCTGGAAACCACAAGTGGTTAGAGTCCTGTTTGCATGCTTCCCATAAGCACTGGCCACTGTGAGAACAGGATATTGGGCTGGATGAACCTTTGGTTTGATCCAGCTGGGCTTCTCATGCAGGGAATGGAATCAGATGGAACACAAGTTGGTACATTAAGCAGGTTGCTTGCTTTTACAGCCCCAGAGGAGAAAAACAAGATTTCTACAAATGGAGGGAGGGAGGGAGGAAGCAGGTGAGTTGTGTGGTTGGATCTTGGGCAGATCCAAATGCAGAAATGTGCCAAATGAACTGGAAATGCCAGAGTACCTCACTTGCCAAGCAGTCAGCTTCTTGCAGAGTTTCACGGCTGGCAGCTTTTCATAGCAGATGAGTCACGGGGAGCCGTCTATAATTAATTACTCGTGGTGTTTGAACTCCCTGAGGCCCATGGGTTGCTTAAGTGTAAATGGGTTGATTGGCAAAGGAGCCAGAAGCTCAGCACCACAGCCTCACTCTTCTTCCAAGCTAGGCCAACAAAATCGTATTAGTTTGGCAACTGGTATTCGAGGCCAACCTTTGCTAACCTGGTGCCTTCCAGATATTTTAACCTGCAACTCCCATCTGCTCCCACCGATTGGAATTGAGGTCACCTGCAAAACATGTGGAGGGCACCAGGTTGGGGAACGCTCGTTTAGGCTGTGGTTTTTACATAGTAAAACAACAAGCGAAAAGGAGAGTTTTATTGTAATAATAATAATAATTTATTATTTATACCCCACCCATCTGGCTGAGTTTCCCCAGCTACTCTGGGCAGCTCCCAATCGAGTGTTAAAAACAATACAGCATTAAATATATGTAAATGGAAGATTTGGTTGGAGGTAATCATGTGAGCATTGAGGACAGCAGTGGGATGGTGAGCCAATATAACCTGAAATCCATTTCTATGGAGCACTAGCAGCCAGTTTACAGCACAGAAATCTAGGACATCATGCTGTGTTTGGAAAGCATATCTGGGCTTTACTTTCACAATGTTAATCAGAGTTAATCCGCAGAATTATTGCCTGCGCAATAAATTAGTGTCACACGACGTTCTGGTCAGCAAACGAGAATTCATTCTGAAATATGATCTAATGCGATTAACACTGGGGAAAGGCAGTCCAGGTCACATTCCTCCTTTATAGCCAACATTATTATGTATATACATTACAGGGGCAATGGTTCAATTTGTCAATATCATCATAGATTATTCCAGTCTCTCTTTGTTTTGTTTTAAATCACTTCTAAAGAAGAGAGAGGACAGGCTTCTGGGGGTACTGGCAAGTGCTGATCCAATTCATGCAGCAGCTCTTTGAGGACAGAAGGTAGGGAGAAGTTGAACGGATGAATGCTTGCTGGTACTACAAGGAACCCAAGCCCTTAGGAAGCCAATTTGTCAGGGAGAATGCCAGTTAAGGCAGAAGTTTGAAAACTCCAATCTGTCCCCACCACAGTTTTCTGCAGAGTTCAGCAAGAACCTCCAGCAGGGAGCTTGCTGCTCATCTCTGGCTCAGATTTACAAGCCTCCAAGTAAGATCTTGAAAGGTTAGGACAACCTTCCCAGCCTGGTGACGTCCAGATGTTTTCAACTATGACTCCCATCAGCTCCTGGCCAGGTCTGATGAGAGTCGTAGTCTGAAAACCGGTGGAGGTCCCTTTATTGAGAAAGTGTGATTTAAGAGTTGCATATCTTTTCACAACAGCATTTTGCTTTGAAATGGAGGCCCTGTCCTTTGCAAAAAAAGGCAGAGGCATCCTATCTGACTCTGCCAATATCATTCCTGCCCCAGTACTAATTGCAGGGGACAAGCTCTGTTTGTGAAAACATACTGCGGAAGGAAGAGAATCTGGGCCCTTCCTGTCTTGCTAGACTGCAACTCCATCATGGATGAACGCTGACTGCACTCGCTGGGGCTGATGGGAGTTGGTGTCAAGCAACATCTAAAGGGCCAAAGGTTTCCCCATCACTGACGTTAAAGGTATGTGTGTGCATGTATATACATGTAAACGGTAAAGAAACAGAAGTGTATATTTCAGCAAACACTTCATCACTGTTTTTCCAGCTGTTTCAACTTTCATTTTTCACTGCTCTTTGGCACAGGTTTTGCTGCTAAACTACAGAGCACATTGGGGACACAACAGTTTTGCTTATAAAAAGCCCAAGAACCTGTTTGTCAGCAGGGATAGCCTGAAATCCCCAGTAAAATCTGGCCCAAACATTTAAGGTGTAAAACTATGTCATTCTCAACCCTTTTAGGGCAGAGTATCCCCTGGTGCTGTGGGTTAAACCACAGAGCCTAGGACTTGCCGATCAGAAGGTCAGCAGTTCGAATCCCCGCGATGGAGTGAGCTCCCATTGCTCGGTCCCTGCTCTTGCCTACGTAGCAGTTCGAAAGCACGTCAAAGTGCAAGTAGATAAATAGGTACCGCTCCGGTGGGAAGGTAAACGGCGATTCCATGAGCTGCTCTGGTTTGCCAGAAGCGGCTTAGTCATGCTGGCCACATGACCGGGAAGCTGTACGCCGGCTCCCTCGGCCAATAAAGCGAGATGAGCGCCGCAACCCCAGAGTAGGTCATGACTGGACCTAATGGTCAGGGGTCCCTTTACCTTTACCTTTATTCCCTTGAAGGTGGCTTGAAAACATTGGTAGTTTGCTGCTCAGGAGACTTCCCATTCTGGGACCTGATGTTATTGTTATTGAGGGACAGTGCAGGGACAGAAGGAAAGGATAATTACAAACTAATATGTATTGGTATGTGAGAGCATTTTGTGACAACCTATACCCAGCTGAAACAGCTATCCTGGTGGAAACCTCTTTCTGTTAAGAATGGCGAAAGCTTGGGTCTTTTTCTTATGGGGAAGAAAACCACCAGCCATTATCCTCAGCTGCTGCTGATACAAGCATCCTGGCCCTTCACTACATGGGACGCAGCTGCATGGCAGGCCCATAAAATTAATCTCCGGTGTGAAAGCAGCTCTTAAGGGGAAGCCCTGTAACCCGAGCTGGAGAAAAGATGGACTCCTCAATGCATTCTGCAGCAGTATTTAATAGCTAAGCGGCAGTTAATTAGATGCTGAAGTGGCTGTGTCAGTTGTCAGGCAGTGCGGCATGGAGGGGAGGGAGTGGGAAGGGGCAGCAATGGGGTGTGAAAGGACTGGAGGCTGGAACTGGGGGAAACACAGGTCAGGCCCATAGCAGCAGCAAGCAGCTGCTTCATGGCAGAGCAGACCACTTCTTTCTGTGTTAGAACCCCAAAGAGGACAGCAAGCTTAACCAGGCCTTCTCAAGCTCGTTGATGTGGTTGATTCATATGACAGTCCTTGATGGAAGGCAGTTCTGGTCTATTTAAGGCTTTGTAAGTCAAAACGAGCACTTTGAATTGGGCCCAGGTACCGCTTGGCAGCCAGTGCAGCTGGGCCAGGAGTGGCGTCCTATGCTCAAAACATCTTGCCTCGGTGAGTAACCCGGCTGCTGAATTCTGAACCGGCTGAAGTTTATGAACCATCTTCAGTGGCAGCCTAACATGCAATGTGTTGCATTAATCCAACTCGGGGCTCAGCTACACTGGGAAAGAAACCACGTTTTGAATGCGTTATAAACATGCAACACTAGATGGTACTGGAGGGTAAAAAAAAAAAATCTACACAATTTTCCATAGCGTTTTTCTTTTCTTTTCTGACTTATTTATAGCGGGGTTTTCCCGTGTGTAGGCTCAGCCCTAGATGTTACCAGACGACAGAAGTTAGGCTATCCCTGTCCAGATAGGTAGGTGTGCAGCTGGGCTACCAGCCGAAGCTGATGGAACGTGCTCTGTGGCAACACGCCAACTGAGCCTCAAGCCACAGCAAAGAAGTGTAACCCCCTCAAGAGCTGGCAATCACTAGGGCATTTTTATTTCTGCTTGGAATGCTTTCAGCACAGTTCCCATCCACCCCACAAAAAATTCTCTAGTTGTTGCTTTTATAAACTCACCCTAGAAAAGTTGAAGGCCTGTATAATTTTTCTTAAAACAACAAAACTCAAATAAATAAATAAATGTTTGTCATGGTACCAGAGCAAAGACGCCATCAAAATACACACCTTTGCAGGGTTGTCACATCTTTTATATTTGTTAAGCTTCTGGGGTTCCTGTCTAGAAGTCCATGCAAAAGAGGAATCTGCAGGCATCAGCAGAAACTTCCGTTAAGATACCTTACCTCCTCAAGCTCCTCAGTTCTCTCCTGCAGACTGTGTGCCTCAAGCCGGTAAGTGTTTCCAAGTGCTAACAAACGCTGTTGGGATGAGAGAGTAAGGCACAGTGGTAATGCAGTTCCAGGTGTCTGAGGTCGGGTCGTAACAATCCAGCGTCTTGCACCTCTGGGTCCCAAAGTAGCCACCCACCACATAAAGCTTGTTCCCAGAGGCCAAAGCGTGGCAGGACATCCGCTTGGCCGTCATGTCCCCAATCCGCGTCCACTGGTCCGTTTCGCAGTCAAAGCGGTAGGCAGAGGCCGCTGTGTACTCCGTGTCTCCACCCATGATAAAGATCTGGCTACCCAGGACGGCGCCCGCCGTGTAGCGCCAGGGCTGGGGGCACTGGGCTTTGATGGTCCACCGGTTCTCCAGCGGGTCGTAGCACTGGACTTTGGACACCATGTCGCGGTGGATGCTGGTCCCTCCAAAGACGTAGAGCTTCAGCCTCGCGCTGACGACGGCCGCGTTGCTGACGCCGTCCCTCAGAGGGGCCACCATGGTCCATTTGTTGGCGAGAGGGTCGTACTTCTCCACCTGCTTCAGTGAAACGGAAGGAGAAGCTGGGAAAACCCCGGCCACCGCGGTGTGTCCACCGACGACGTAGAGGCAGTTTTCCAGTTCGGCTGACCCATGTCCAAACCGAGCGATAAGCATTGGGGCAGCTTTGGACCACTCCTCGTTCACTGTGTCGTAGACCCAGACATCCTTGGAGACCCCGTTTTCGGAGCCCCTGCCTCCAGTGATGTAGACTTTGCAGCCAATGGCGCAGGCGCTGAACTCTTTTCGAGGGCTGGGGAGGTCAGCTTTGGGGATGATCTCTTTCGCTTTGTGGTCTACTTGGTAAACCTTGTCACACATAAACGTCTGGCCCCCTAAGATGAGCAAAGTGTGCCCAGCCTTCCTAGGCCTGGCACAGGGGCTGGTGACCACCCCATCGTTCTGCAAGATCTTCTTTTTGCACCAAAGAGCTTCATCCATGATTTGCTTGTTCTGGTCTTCTGCCGTGATCAGCTCCTCGTAGGTCATGGCTTCCTTCAGGCACTCGGAAGGCAGCAAGGCCAGTCGCACGTGCTTCAACATCTCCGGGAGGAAAGACTTTCTCTTGTCCAAGTCATGCTTCACCCACTGCATGACTGCCTTGAAGACCTTCTCCTCATCCTCAATTTCCAGCTCGTCACTGGAAATCAAGTCCAGCAGGGTGTCCTTGGAGAGGTTATTGAAATCTTCATTTCTGTGGACTGTCTCAAAGTTGACCAAGCACATCCTCCAAGAAAGCTCATAGAGCCTCTTGCACTGGTGAGCATCTGAAAGGACCATCATGCCCAGACAGTTGGAAGGGTGCAGGTTCTTCTCAAGGAACTCGGCAGCTGCATCCCTGATGTCCTGGAACTGCAACATGTCCCCGGCTTCCAGGAGGGACTCTGCATTCTCCTCGTTGATTATGATCTTGGAGGAGTAAGCATAGTCCAACAGCAGCTCCAACACCTCTGGGTGCAGGCTATCGTCGAAATTCACCTTGTCGCCCAAGCTCTCGCGAAGGCCGTTGCTAAACATGGCTTCGAAGTACCTGCTGGCAGCAGCAAGCACAGCCCGGTGGCATGGAAAGGACTTATTCCCGGCCCAGAGGGTGACATCAGTGAACTTGCAGTGCTTCCTCATGGTGTTGAGGTGAGACAGGACACAGTCTGGATGGGAGGCTTTGTGGAAGAGCAAGATGTTCATTGAACCAGTGCTCGTTCGGGATTTGCGGTTTTCATGGACGCTGACGGACATGACTACTGGACTCCTATCTGTAGGAAAATGAACATAGAAATTCTGAGTTTCAGAGGAATGAACAGATTGGCACCTATTGCTTTTTCTCACCTGAGATCAGCAATGCAGGCCCACCTCTACAAAAACCAAGAATCATGGAGCATGGGCTATCAAGACCCAATGTGCCATAGTGGTTAGGAAGTTCAACTAACAGTAGGGAGACCCAGTTTCAAGCCCATCCTCAGCTGGAAAATTCAGCAGACAATGTTGTACTAGTCACAGTGTCTAGACTGCCTCACAAAGTTGTTGTGAGGATAAAGGGGGTGGGGGACACACATTTTGTACGCTACCAAGAGCCATTCAAGAAAATGAGCCAGAAACATGTATTGCATATTGCCCCAAACAGTTAAACGCAACATTTTGTTTCCGTGGAAGTATGCCTCCAGTTATGAGGTGCTGAGGGTGAGCACCTAGGAAAATGACTAAATCCATCTCCAACAGTCAAAATAAATAAAAAAATTAAAAACTTGTCCAGCAGCACCTTAGAGACCAACTAAGTTTGTTCTGGGTATAAGTTTTTCGTGTGCATGCACACTTCTTCAGATCCAACAGTGACATCAATGAAAAGCAGCTATCTACATCATGAACAAGAGCCGAATAAAAATCTGCATCGGGGTCTGCTGTCCTGTGAATCCTGCCACCTGAGGCGGTTGCCTCATGGGTAAGCCAGCCCTGGTTGGGGCCTTAAGTCCAGCTGAACTAGGAATAAGCTTGTGAGCTGGAGATCCAGTGCAGCCTAAACTGCTTATCTCAGTAGATCTCGTCATAGGATTGCCCTGTTCGGCTAGTTATTTACTTTCTAAACCTCAATCCCCTCATCTGCAATATGGGGGATCACAATACTGACTTAAATTAACAGGGTGGCTGCAAAGATTCCAACTAGGAAACGACTGGAATACTCGAGAGTGTTTCAAATAAAGGTTTATTATTCATCATCCTTGCTATTAAATTTATTGTTATTATTTTCACTGTATTATATTCTTGATTTTAATTCCACACTGATTTCCAGCAGTTAATAAATCAGAGACTGCACCCTTTTGACATGTGCTCTGCTCAGTTTTGCAATCCAAACACTGAAAAATCCTGTTAACATAATTTTCTCAATTCTAACTGTACATGAACCGTGGGGTGTCAGGAGGGATTCATTTCGCAAGCAATCATTCTCTTTTTTAGAAAAAAACAAATATGAAAATAAATGAAAATTTCACACCATTCTCCCAAAGGACATTGAAGAAAAATAAATCTATGCATGCAGACAGGCGCTCGTAAGCCTGGTCAAGGGAACAGTATTTTCAGAGGAAAGGGCGCTGCACTGTTCTTGGCTTAGCCTGGGTCATGCTGGCTTTAACTGCAGAAGAAATTACTGCAATTTCCAGGCAGGCTGTTTGGCTTCTAAATAAAATAGGTGGCTATTAGCAGGGTGCAGAGATTCGAGCCGGTGTTTCTGCACAGCCTCATGCTCCCAATTCCTCCAGACTCATTTGCTTTGCAAAAAAACAGGTTTAAGCTCCCATCAGGGAATTGGGTAGGCCTACCTGTCCACCAACTGGTTTAAAACAAACAAATAACTCCCAAAGCCAACTAGATGGTTATTTGGAGTGTTTTTGTACGGGTATGACAGTCTCGCATCTCTTGGCAAGCTACACCCATAGCATAACAATCTTCAGGCTAACACAACATGAGTTAATGGAACCCCATGAACAGCTGGCAAATCGACAGCTACATCTCTTGAAGCTACTCCACTGAAATTGTCCTCCATCTAGAAAGCAACCATAGGAAGGGCGCAAGGTTATTGTATTTTCACCTCACTCTGTCTCCAAGAAACTGAAGGTGGTGCACACATGGAAATATAGGAAGCTGTATTCTGAATTAGACCATGAGTCCAGCTAGCTCAGTAGAGCCTACACTGACCTACAGCTGCTCTCCAGAAATTCAGGCAGGGAGACTTTCCCAGACCTACTTGGAGATGCTGGAGACACTACCACAGAGCTATATCCCTTCCGCAAAAGAAAGTCCCCTCACATATACCCCATAATCCTTGCAACAACCTTGTGAGGAAGGGCAGACTCAGAAATACTGTTTGTCCCAAGGTCACCAGGTTAGGTTCTAGGGTTGACGAGGGGCTTGTGTGTCATGGTCTTTGGCCAGAACAATAAACTTATGAACTAGGACAGATGAGGGATTTGAAGCTGGGTTTCTTCAATACTCCCAGTCACTACGTAACAGAGGTTCAGCCTCTGAAAGCGCCATCTAAAATATTTCAGACAGCAAGGCTTGGAGAGATGTTTTTTAGTATGCATCTTTTATTTTCTATTTTAGTATGCTTTGGTGACCTATGTGTAGAAAACCAGGGTACAAATAATTCTTTGGGGAAAGCCATGACTTTCTAAGCAGGGACATGGGTGGTGCTGTGGTGTAAACCACGGAGCCCTGGGCTTGCCGATCGGAAGGTCGGCGGTTTGAATCCCCGCGAGGGGGTGAGCTCCCGTTGCTCGGTCCCTGCTCCCACCAACCTAGCAGTTCGAAAGCACGTCAAAGCGAAAGTAGATAAATAGGTACCACTCCGGCGGGAAGGTAAACAGCGTTTCCGTGTGCTGCTCTGGTTCGCCAGAAGCGGCTTAGTCATGCTGGCCACATGACCCAGAAAAACTGTCTGCAGACAAACGTTGGCTCTCTCGGCCAGTAAAGCAAGATGAGCACTGCAACACCAGAGTCGTTCGCAACTGGACTTGACTGTCAGAGGTCCTTTACCTTTTTTAAAAATGTCTTTCTAAAGTGGTATTGTAGCGCTCAGTGCCGGATTTACATATAAGCTAAACAAGCTATAGCTTAGGGCCCCACTTTCTTGGGGACCCCCAAAAATATTAAAGGGGAAAAAAGTGGATGTACATTTCCAAAATATAAGATTAAAAACAAATAATATAAAACCTACATACAGCAACACTGTTTTGTGTTGTGTAGGCTCCTATGATGTAAGTAATGGGCCCTGCCTGCTAGCCTGCTCCCTAAAATATCACTGGTTTCAGTTCAACAATTACTTTGATAAAATACATATTTTGTTATGTGCAAATGGCTTTAGATACCTATTAGGTCCATAAATTACCATATAGCATATATTCAACACAAAAAAGTGACAATCTGCTGTTGACAAAGGACAGCTGGACATATAAAGGGCCCCATTACCTTCAGTAGCTTAGGGCCTCATCAAACCTAAATCTGGCCCTGGCAGCGCTTAAATGTATGGTATGAATGCAGCCCAGCTCAACGCTGCTCATATCTCCTCTATGGAGATATGACAAATTGCAACTGCAGTCAGCTGACCATGCTCCCCACCCTCCAGGGCTTGACAAACCCTTTTGAACTCAGCCTGCAGAAATAATATTATTATTTTTTCTTTAAAGGCGGCAGTGCTGAGGAGTGTTCTCCAGCCACAATACATTGCCAGCAGGCTGTGCTCAGTTGGAGGGTCACGAATTGCGCAGGCCCACCTGGTGGTCATTGGCTCCTGGCAAGCCAGGCCTCTCACCTGCTGTTCTGAGGTGACTCATCTGGATTCCAGACATCCTTCCACTTGCTACAACAAGGCCTTGCCAAGAGTTATTTACCCACACAAAGAATTCATCCCCAATTTGGGTTTGTTTTGCTGCAAATTGCCCACATTGCTCACTCCCGCTGACTAGGATCTAGCTCAAGGGAACAGCCTATTTTATTTTATTTTTGGCCACACATGCAAGAAATAAAGAGGAAAATTACAAAGCTAAAATCCCAGAATAATAATTGAGGGGTGGTTTCCCCTCCCTTTTTTCTCCCTCGCCTTCCTGGTACACATTCCCAGATGATAGGTAAAGAGACTGGTGGTTTCAATTATAATGTTTCTGGGAATGGAAAGAGACTCAAATCCCTGGGGAAGAAATTTGAGGGGGGTGGGTCACTGGTGTGGGGCATAAATGGGGAGATTTCTGGACATTTCCCCAGTACAACATTTGACAGAAATGCATTGTTTCAGTAAAACTGGCAGCATAATGATCAAAGGCAAGATAAAAAATAATAATGGACAACTGGAAGGAATATAATGCCCATCAAATCTAACTTGCTTTTATTTTAGGTCAATACAGTATTCCTAGGAAACATGCAGTTTTTCAGGCGTGCTAAAATTACTATGTTTGCAGTGCCTTCACCCTGCCTCCCCCCAGCAAATATAAATAATGTAAGGGAAGTGTTTGTTATAGAGCTCAAATACCTTAAAATATTTACAAGTAAAGCTTTGAATTTGTTTGCTTATAAAACTTAAACTGCATGCATCATGCTTTACTGAATTTCCCACCACCAATCAAATATTTCACTTCAGCTACTTTTCTAGCTATCGGGAGTTTTCCAGATACACAAGGAAAAAAGAAGCATTGTGTAAGTATTCCTTTCCTGCTCACCTAGGGGTAACTTTTACTCCTTGACAGGTAACCAGCTGAGTGCCATTTGAACAAGCCTGGCTCTATGTGGAACGTACATTATTGCAAAGCGCTTCTTGCAGGACTCTTTTGGCAAGATTGAGGTTCTCGTTGCTACAGAGATAATCAAGCCCACCAGAGCTCTTGCTTCTGCTACTGAAGGGCTGATTCTGGGGGTAACCAAGAGTCATCACGAAGACATAAACTCTGAATTAAAAGTTTGGGGCTTAGCCCAAGATTTGATGGATGTGCGCAGATGCGAGAGGTTTTAGCATCACCAAAGCAGCAACAAATGAAATATGTATGAACAACTCAGTAAATACCTAGGCTTGTGAAGAAGTGAGTTAACCAACACTTTCATTTTTCCCAGCATGCAAAAGCACCCACTTAAAGCTTTCACTTTCCTGTGCTGATCCCTGAAGGCTCGGAGGATTTGAAACAATTTAAAAGAAAACACACTGTTAAACTTTGCAGAGCGGAGTACGCACTGCATACTTTTATTGCCTCTTCCCTTTAAACTAGTCTGAATCATGACAGATTTGCAGATGTGGCACTGAAGCCGCTCTGGGTGCAAAGGCATTCAGCTGATGTGACGCAAACGATTTTTACCACAGCACACCAGTGCTTAGTAATACTTGAAATTAATAGGTAAGAAGGTAAAGGATCCCTGGATGGTTAAGTCCAGTCAAAGGTGACTATGGGGTTGCGGCGCTCATCTCGTTTTCAGGCCAAGGGAGCTGGCGTTTGTCCACAGACAGCTTTCCGAGTCATGTGGCCAACATAACTAAACCACTTTTGGTGCAACGGGACACTGTGATGGAAGCCAGAGCGCACAGAAACGGCGTTTACCTTCCCACCGCAGCAGTACCTATTTATCTATTTGCACTGGTGTGCTTTCAAACTGCTAGGTTGGCAGAAGCTGGGACAGAGCAACGGAAGCTCACTCCATCACAGGGATTTGAACCGCCGATCTTCTGATCGGCAAGGCCAAGAGGCTCAGTGGTTTAGACCACAGCACCACCCAGCCAAGAAGTCATCTTGTCAAGCATCCTGCCACCCAACAGTGACCACTCAAATGCCTCCACAGCTCAGTGGTGTAGCACCTACATGCCACGGAAAGGGCCCACGTTCATAATTGTGTTGGGAAAGCCATGACTGTTAAAGCGGAATAAGAATGCGTTAAATGTGTGGTATGGATGCGGCCTCTGTCTTGTCAGGATTCTGTTGCTATTTAGTAGTTCGCATTCCAGGCATGGGCTGCAGTGTTCGGAACTTTTTAGTTTAGAAAAGAAAATGTGAATATGGCATGACATAATAGAAGTTTATAAAACTGCATGGTATGGAGAAAACAAATGGAGAAAAACTTTTCTTCCACAATATTAGAACTTGTGGACATCTGGTGGATGTTGGAATTCAGGACAGATAAAAGAAAGGACTTCTTCACACATTGCATAGTTAAACTATGGAATCCATTGCCCCAGGAGAAAGTGATGGCCACCAACATGGATGACTTTAAAAGATGGTTGGACAAACTGATGGAGAAGGTGGTTATCAATGGCTGATAGCCATGATGTCCATGCTCTACCCCCATGGCTGGAGGCAGTAATGCTTCTGAACACCAGAATGCTGGAAAACACAGAGGAGGGAAAGTGCTCTTCTGTTGTCCTGCTGGGGTCAATGTGAGCACAGGATGCTGGACCAGATGGGTCATTGGCCCGATCCAGCAGGCTCCTCTTGTGTTCTTACGGTTCAGGACATGAACAGCCTCTCCTGGTTCAGATGTTACACAGGAAACGGAGCTTGGTATCATCAGTATATGGGTGCCACCTTGTCTCATACCTAGCAGGTTCATATCAATATTAAACAACAAAATCATCCATGGTGTCACCTGCAGATCAATTTTCTGTGGGCCAAGGCAGTTACCCAATACTACTCTCTGTAAGGAGACAGAAACAAGGCTGCCCACCCCAGTTTTAAGAGAAGGGCAACTGATCCCTGCATCAACATTTTTGGCTGCAGAACCTTGTTTTTTCCCCCTATCATGAAAAATTAAACAATTATATAAAATCTCAGTCTATTAATCAGGCAACAGCCTCATTGATGTGATCCAAGCGCTGTGTCTGGGGGAAAAAACAACCCTCCCGAGCCCTGGTTCCACAGCGGATTCCTAGCCAGGTGTTGACTTTGATCAATCCTTAACCACTTGATGATATTCCACCCACTGAGTTTAGTTTGCAAGAGGTGGAGTTCCCTTAATGTCTGCCTTCGTCATCCTGTGTGGCATTTAGCAGCTTCTCCTCTGGAGAGTGACTCAAGGGGCAAAGTGTTCTGTAAACACGAGAGCTAATTATTCACCTAATCTGCCAAAGATGAATATGCCGGAGTTTGAAGGCACCTGGTTCAAACTTTTGGGCAGGGATCAACAGCAAGCAAGACGCTACGTTGGGGAGCAGAGGGGGAATTTTGCTGAGGACAGCTAGAAGCAAGATGACAAATACAAATAAGATAAGGGAATAAATCCTTCTGTCAGCACTGCCTTTAATTGCCATTTCAATGCCAGCTTGCATTGTACAACTTACATGTTGTACGGGATGCACGCTAGCGCATTCAGCTGACATGTTGCAGGCACAGATTTACATACTTGCCTTCCAGTGGGAATCCCCACCCCTGCCCCATCTTGGGTGACTTGTGCACGGAATTCCTGTTTCATTGAATAAACACATGGGAGGAATAATCACCCTCAAACATTTCTATGCTACTTTCAAGTGTTCAAAGAACTTCACATGCTTTTCTAGTTGCAACCCTTATTACAGGTTTGGGGAATCTCGGGCTCAGGAGGCCAAATATGACCCTCAGGATTTTCTTCTGGTAACACCCCCTACATCCCTGTTTTATACTCTCCTTAAGTGGTGGGTTGCTCGGTCCCTGCTCCTGCCAACCTAGCAGTTCGAAAGCACGTCAAGTACAAGTAGATAAATAAGTACCGCCCCGGCGGGAAGGTAAACGGCGTTTCCATGCGCTGCTCTGGTTCGCCAGAAGCAGCTTAGTCATGCTGGCCACATGACTCGGAAGCTGTACGCCGGCTCCCTCGGCCAGTAAAGCGAGATGAGCGCCGCAACCCCAGAGTCGGTCACGACTGGACCTAATGGTCAGGAGTCCCCTTTACCTTTTAAGTGGTGGGAATGTGTCCTTGAACTCTGACAATGCCTCTTCCTTGCTTGGATATAGCCTATAGGCCAGTGGTGGCAAACTAGCCTATAGGCCAGTGGTGGCAAACCTTTGGCACACATGCCAGAGGGAGAACTCAGAGCCCTCTCTGTGTGCACATGCGCCATCACCACAGCAGAGCGCCGGCAGAAGGCAAGGGCGGTGTGTTGAGTCCTCAGCTCAACTTGGGCAGCCAAGCAGCCACCTTCCTCCTCCTGCTGCTATGAGGTTGAGGCTTTACACACCCTCTGGCCGGGGCCAAAGGGAGGCGCTGGGCAGGGTGCTCTGGGCCCCAGCAGCCTCACCACGCCATGATCGCCTCCCACTTACTGGCATGCTTCTTCACCGAGCTCAACCACAGCCAAGTGCAGCGGGTGAGGGTGTGCCCTGGGACACGCCGGACACCCTGCGTAGGGGCCAGTCGGGGCTGGGCGAGGGAGCAGGGAAAACACTGGTGGAATTTATTTTCTCTACAAGCTGCTCCGGCTGCTGCAGAAACAAATATTTTATCCTAACACTGAAGATGAGTATCTCATAGAGAAGACAAACCCGGTCTCGTGGCGGTGATGTCAAAACATATTAACTACACTTACCTTCATGAAGTCAAACGAGGGTGCTGAGAATGGGTAATTGTTGGGTTAATGAACGGCAAAGAGATCTATATGCATCTTCTCTTTCAATGCAAACACTGAGAGAGAATACCTAGACTTCACACAAATTCCCCAGATACAATGCAATGCAATATGGTAACCAGGTACTTCTTTCTTAAGGGCGAAGTAGGAGTCAGAGTAGTGTCAGCTAATGCAGATTATGCACCAATTCAGGTTAAATTGCCTTGTTGGCATTTTGTGATAAATAAGTGGGTTTGGGGTTGCAGTTTGGGCACTCGGTCTCTAAAAGGTTCGCCATCAGAGCTATTGGGCAAAGATAATTTTTGTATCATTTACTCTGCCCTCTTTTGCCTCTGGCCCCTCTCACCACTCATGTGGCCCCTGGAAGGCTGCCGCAGAAGGGAATGTGACCCTTGAGCTGGAAGAGGCTCCCCAACCTTGCCTTACAATAACCAAGGGCCTTACAGATGTTTTGGACAACTCTCAGCATCCCTAGTTAGCAGATGGGAGGCCAGAGGCTGAGAGGAACAGGCTTGCCTAAGGATTCCTAGTGAGCTCATGGCAAAGGCAGAATTCAAAGTAGGGTCTTCCTGATCCACAGCTCAGTCTTTTGGCCATCGTGCTACACCAGCTCTCTGGTGTGCCACATGTTCTTCATTTTTAAGGGTGCTGGTGTTATACAAATATCAACCCTGCTAGACTTTCCTGGAAATCAGGGCATTCTGAGCTTCGTATGTGCCCAAGTTCAGTTTTGTGGGTAGGGTGAAATAGGGTTAGGCAAAGATGTCGATTTCAGTTTCTCATTTTTCCGAATCTTAAATTCAGTTCTCCATATGCAGATGAGATTTTTTTAAAAAGAACTTCCAAAAATTCATAATCATTTTAATTTCTCCTAATATGCACATTTCCTCTAATATACTGCACTTTTATACACTAGTGTATATTTTTGTACACTTTACTTGGCTGGAGATTGGCACTGAAAAGGTCAGAGACCTGCAAATTTCAAAAGACAGCCGTGTTTCAGTTCACATATGTTTCAGAAAGTGTGGATTAGGTCAAATTTTCCTTGAAACGTGAATGGAATTTCTCCCCCATCCATGCTGTGGAAGTGCCGTGATCATTTTGAGGAGTAGGAGTAAATCTCTCTATGTATAATATAAACCTCTGTCTTTATAATGCAGCATAAGAACAATCGGCACCTCTGGGACATCCAAAGGTCATTGATACACCCAGCCTTCAGCTGGACATTCCCACTTGCTCCATCCCACAGAGGACCAGAGCCTTTAAGGAGGGAATCTTCCTGAAGTCAGAAACCAAATCATCTTCCTCCAGGCCTTTCTTGCAGCAACACATTTCCCCACGGGCCACTGCAGCTGGTTGGGCCTAAACAGATGTTTGTTGCTAATTACACCCTCCCAGTAAACATTTAGAAAGGGAGGAGTAAAAATAGCAACTTATACTTAGCACGAAAACAGGGAACTGATGGTGGCAAAACTCCCAGAAGCTGCCAAAAATGGTTGTGAAAGAAGCATCCCATCCCATTTACAAGAAAAGATATTGTACCTTTATAGGTGGGGGCTGCCAATTAATTTTAGGTAGGCAATGTCCTCAGTTCCACAAGGCCAATGCAAGACAACCGGAAAAGAGAGGGTGGCGCTCCCTTGGCCAATGCCTTACGAAAAGGCCGTCCTGGCTTACCCTTAGCAGCAAAGGGTGTTCCCCCATTTATATTTTAAGCAGCACAAGTTTGGGTGTAGCCAACCTCGCCTTCAGTCTGAGCAGCTTCCTTGGGCTTCCTTGTTAAGCTCTTTAAGGACTGCAGCCAAAGCAATGATTTAGGTAGTCTTATGGAAAAAAGATTAAGGGATGCAGGTGGTGCTGTGGTCTAAACCACAGAGTCTAGGGCTTGCCGATCAGAAGGTTGGCGGTTCGAATCCCCATGACAGGGTGAGCTCCCGTTGCTCGGTCCCTGCTCCTGCCAACCTAGCAGTTCAAAAGCATGTCAAAGTGCAAGTAGATAAATAGGTACCGCTCTGGTGGGAAGGTAAACGGCATTTCCGTGCGCTGCTCTGGTTCGCCAGAAACCACTTAGTCATGGTGGCCACATGGCCCGGAAGCTGTATGCCGGCTCCCTCGGCCAATAAAGCGAGATGAGCGCCACAACCCCAGAGTCGTCCATGACTGGACCTAATGGTCAGGGGTCCCTTTACCTTTACGGAAAGCAGAAAACCCCATCGAAAGAAGAATAGCTATTGAAATTGATGGCCTATGCTGAAATGGCCAGACTGACTGGGAAGAGCAGATACCAAGAGGACAAGAAATCTAAAAAAGAATGGATTATTTTTGTAGAATACATGAAGGAGCACTGTAAGCACCTAAAAACGTTAGCAGGATTGGATTAGCACTTGTAATATAATTTGATAAAGGACATCAACAAGGAAAATTAATAGTTTGGATAAAGGTATTTAGATGCAGAAATGAGAAGAGATAAATATTGGAAACCAGGGACAGGAGTGGGGGGGAAGTCCAGGGGTTAGAAGAACCCCCATAAAGATACTAGGATTGTTTGTGGTGTAATGCAAAGAATAATGTAAAAATCTTTTAAAAATAAAATTTATTAAAAAAAAGATTTAGGTAGTCTTAGAAACATTTTACAGACTGCAGTTGCTGCAGAAGCCCCAGGGATACGAAATAGATGGTGCATTTTAGTTCAGGGGTGAGAAAGCTGTTTCAGCAAGAGGGCCACACTGCCTCATGGGCAACCTTCCAGGGGCCACTGCTGGGCAGGCACAGAGGTAAAAGCACATGAAGCAATGGATAGAACTCTTGCCTTTGTGTACTAGGTTACATTCCAACCATGCAAAAATCAGAGGTTGCTGTACACGTCTCTCTCTATCCAGGCAAGAAAGAAAGAAGTGCTATCATAATCTCAGAATACTTCCAGACAGGAAAAGCACTCAAGGAAGCAAAGCTGCTGAAAGAGGGGGCCTGGAAAGAAAGGGGTGTGACATTGGGAGAGTCCCAATGGTCAGAGAGACACCAGGGGGCCACATTTGGACAACCATCCCCGGCCTGAGAGTCATGGAAACTATAACAAAGCATTTTCTGGCACCTTAAGCTTCGATGGGTTACGGACTAGAGTCCAATTCACTAGATGCAAGTGGATCTGATGAAGTACAGTCCACTAAACCTTGCACCATAATAAATGTCCCCCTTTCAAAAGTGCCAAAAGACCCTTTCCCTGTTGCACCAAAACACAAGTAATAATACCCCTTTGGAAATGGAAACCATAGTTGGGTGAGCACATTCAAAACTCTTTAGTAGAGATCTGCACTCCTGAGCTGAGCTGCTGGGGATCCTCAGGGAGGGGAAATCTTTTTGAAGGTATCTTGTACATTAGTTAAGCCCAAAATTATCTCTCTTGCTTTTCCAACATACATTGAACCATGCAAGCTTCTAGCCCGACAAGCTTGTGTGTCGACTCTCAGAAGCAAGCTTGCCCCCAAAGATAACACATCATTACCCATTAGATTTGACTTCATTTATCAAGTACAACCACACTACTATTATCATTAAAGCTGGGAGACAGTGGAAGCAAAGAGGGGAAACCTCAATTCTGTAAGCAGAAATGCTTTTTCATGTGTGTGCAAATGAGGCATGTATTTGTACCTCTAGGGACTTTCTTTTCAAAGTTTGCTCTATTGTTGATTCAAAGTCAGGAACATTGCGCTGAAGTCTTGCTGCAATGCAGCTCCAACACTTTGATGCCTTCAGCTTACTGACCGTTGCAAATTGCCATTGTTTTTTCGAGGCATTAACAATGCCCAAGTCTTGTCTGGCCAATGTACTGAAATAGCCAGGAATATCTATTTCGAAAGTATGTATTTAAACTCTAGTTTTGCTAATATAACAATCACCAGGTTTCTTTTAACTGCTGTTCTCTAGCGCAAGGAACCTCTTTGTTTCGTGTTTAAGACTGGAGACAGATCTAAGATAACTGCTGGATTTTGTTTTCAAAACTAGGGCATCAGATGTTGTTTATTTCTTCATCCAGCACAAAGCCTGGCTATTGGTCCATCTCACTCAGTCCTGTTCCCAATGACAGGTAGTGGCTTTCCAGGGTTTTAGACAAGGAGATTTTAATAGGTCCAGGTCTAGGAATTGGACCTGGGACCATCTTCATGCAGAGCAGATGTTTTGACACTGAGCTACAATGCTAACATGAAGCTGTGCTTGCTGAGGCTGATGGGAAAACAGTCTAAAACAGTTGGAAGTCGCCAGCCCAGGAAAGGCTGGCCTATTCTAGTAAGCCTGCTACTTCTTCCCACACTCTGCCTTAAGGCCAATTGCTTTAACACCAATGAGTGTCTCCCCACCATCTGCTTCCCTTAACCCCCCTGCTGACGAAGAGTTCCGGATCTAAAAGCTTAGAAACACAGGAAGCAGCCTTATACCAATTCACATCATTGATCCACCTCAAACCTGTATATTCCACAGTCAGCGGCTCTTCAAACTGACTGTCAGCAGTTTTCACACAGGAGTCTTTTCCTGCTCTTCCTAGAGATTCTGGGGATTGCACCTGAGACCTTTTGAGATGCTCAGCCACTGAGCAATGGAGGCCTTGCTTTCTGTTCTCTGATATTTGCAGTGGTCTAACTAAAGACACTACCTTACTATGGAATTTCTCAGGGGGCAGTGGTACATAGGTACCTTTGCTTTTGTGTGTTTCAAGAGGCTTCAAACAAGATCTTGGTAAAGCATGAAGTTGACAGATACTCTTGATCGGAGCGGCACACAGCACTTAGGCTATGCCAAAGGCAGTGTTCGAAATTAGCCAGGAGCCAGGTCTAAACCACAGAGCCTAGGGCTTGCCAAGCAGAAGGTCAGTGGTTCGAATCCTGTTGCTCGGTCCCTGCTCCTGCCAACCAAGCAGTTCGAAAGCACGTCAAAGTGCAAGTAGATAAATAGGTACCACTCCGGCGGGAAGGTAAACGGCGTTTCCGTGCGCTGCTCTGGTTTTGCCAGAAGCGTCTTAGTCATGCTAGCCACATGACCCGGAAAAACTGTCTGCAGACAAACGTCGGCTCCCTCGGCCAGTAAAGTGAGATGAGTCCGCAACCACAGAGTCATCTGCAACTGGACATAACTATCAGAGGTCCTTTACCTTTACCATGCCTGGGTGCCAGGATGGGGCCTGACGTCTCCACCATCTAGGGATCATTGGATCTGGACTGTTTTCACAAACTTAATACCCCGTCCTGTAGAATTCTATCGGTTATATTTTATCTGCACAATCAGAATGAATTCTGAAACCAAATTGCCTTTTCTGTGCAGCCTGAGCAGGAGCAAAAGGTAAAGGTAAAGGTACCCCTGCCCGTATGGGCCAGTCATGTCCGACTCTAGGGTTGTGTGCCCATCTCACTTAAGAGGCCGGGGGCCAGCGCTGTCCGGAGACACTTCCGGGTCACATGGCCAGCGTGATGAAGCTGCTCTGGCGAGCCAGCACCAGCGCAGCACACGGAAACGCCGTTTACCTTCCCGCTATAAAGCGGTACCTATTTATCTACTTGCACTTAGGGGTGCTTTCGAACTGCTAGGTGGGCAGGAGCTGGGACCGAAAGATGGGAGCTCACCCTGCCGTGGGGATTCGAACCGCCGACCATGCGATCGGCAAGTCCTAGGCACTGAGGTTTTACCCACAGCGCCACCCGCGTCTAGCAGGAGTAGCTACCGTTAAGAAAAAGAGGTCAGAATAGGCCAATATATATGTGGACTCTCGCTGGATCAAGTGACTTTTCTTCTTTAAGTTCTAAAAGCTCTTAATCTAGCTCAAGGTCATCTGAATTTTAATTGGGAATCAATCAGTCCATCATCTGAAAAATAAGACTTTAGAGACATCTTGCTCCAAAACGACAAGAGGACATTCTATTTTGGCGACTGTAACCTTGGTTTTAAGAGCCATTTGGTGCCTAGCTTATATATCTGAGTTTCTAACACTGGAATGGAAAAGAGTTTGTGCCACAATATGACTCTAGTAGTCCATAGGTTAGGAGGCCACAACACCATCCCCTCCCCCTATTTCACTCTGGCCTTTATGAACACCCTGCCTAATAAATCAAAGGCACCCATCTCCGCCTCTGGAATGAAGGGCAAAGGCAGGCTGGCCTTTGGCCGACAAATCAGAATTTAAAGCCTCTGCAAGTTTGCAAAGCAGACAAGTTGCAAAGGCTCAGCATCGTGCAATGAGGCCAAAGAGTCCTTTGGCCAGCATTGGCAGAAAGGGCTCCTTGGCCAGCTGAAGCACTGCTAATTGTCACTGTGGGGATGTAAACTTGATGAGGAAAGACGCATTGATGTGATTGTGGTTAAAAGTCAAGTCGGTGGTTGTGGGCTGATGCAACAAGTTGATGCCAAATGCTTCCTAGCAGGCATTCCAGCAGAACGGGGTCCTGCTAAGCAGCATCAGAGCAATTTAATTTACTGTCGGCAAGGGAAAGGAAGAAATGCAACTCTCCATAAACAAGCTTCAACATTTGCACTTCCAATTCACCTGCCCTTTTCCTGCAGTACATCTGGCCAGCAGATCTGTCAAGCATCTCTGGCAACAGCTGGAGAGATGCAACCTAAATAAATGCAAGCCTCATCTATTTGGCTTGGGATTGTCCTCAACGACTCAGATCTCCTGTTGCTTGCTGCTGGATTTTTCCTTGTAGGCTTAAATTCTTGGCTGCTCCTGGTCTCTAATGATGGAAAAGTATTCTGTATTCGACCCTCAGGCAATCTGGTGTGTGATGTGCAATGCTGCACCTTCCGAACCATAAGATTTTCAGTTTTTAATAAAATGCAAGGCGCTAGTCCTCAGGATTGAGGGGATGCACGAATCACAAGGGCTGCCAGTCATCTAAGAACTCTGAAGGGGTACATAGTTCCAACAAGTCATTTCCCCTGGAAGGAAGAAACACAGGGACTGTTGCTTTCTCACGTGTATTTGCCTGCACATCCAGATCTTAGTCAGATGCTTAGATCTGGGCCTTTTCAGCTGTGGCACCCCATCTGTGCCCCAATCTCCCAGGGAGCTGCTGCTTTGGTACCCTTCTCTATTCTGTAGTGTGTATTTTTGCCATCGTGTGCCCTTACTTTTCTCAGGCCTTTTAAAATACGGTTTTATTCTGCTGCTCTTACACCGTTTTACAGCTTTTGCAGTTTTCACAAGTCAGATTTATTGTTCCATTAGAAAAAAAGGACACGACAGACATTCTCTGCAAGCTGCCTTCTTCAGGAATACTGACGGGAAAGAGTCACCTCTTTTAAGTTACCGTAGTAGATAAAACAACAGATATGGATAAAACAGAGACACATGTCTACATTGTACTCAGGCTGCAGAACTAAATATTGTAGGCCCAAAATCTTGCTCAACCTGGCACAGAGGCTAGATTTTCAAGCACAGAGTATATACCGTTCTGCGGCACGTCCTTAATTGTAGCCTGTCCACACATTTAACCTGGTCCTGTCTATCTTGTTCCACTTGCTCCCGACTCTGATTGTTGCTTAAGAAGTTGATGAACCAGCAAATTGCTTTGGAATTATGGAGATGAGGCTCACAGTTTGTGCTTTAACTAGATCAAAGGAAGCACACTGGTGGAGAGAAGGGAGCTTTTTAGCAAGGGTGGCCCTGGTTCAGACCTCATCTCAGGCACGAATCCATGAACTGCCTCCAGAAATTGATAGCAGCTCTCATGCTCAAACCTCCCCCCCACCCCACCCGCGATTTCAGAGTCATAATGCTTGCTACCTTACAGGATCATTGTAGGGGTAACTGAAAAACTATAGCCAAGTGTTAAAAACGCAGCAGTTTCAGTAATACATGCTAATCACAATTTCTTTTTTGAACAACAACAAAAACAACCTTTGTATCCCAACTTTCAGCTCATGAGCTCATTAGTATACGTATCTCTCCATCCTCCTGCCAACACACCCATTTTATTTGATTTATTGAAAGCCATTTATAATATTTTTAAAGATCTCTAAGCAGTATACAATAGAAAAGCGAAGACTGTCATTAAAACAGAAATGGAACAACAACCAAAAAAAACTCCAACAAAGCAGCAGCATCTTATGTTTCATGGAAAGCCTGGACAAAGAGATAAGCATTCACAAGACAGCTAATAGCTGTTGCCTCGTGTATGGCAGAGGGAAGGGCACGCCACAGACCAGGGGTAACAGCTGGAAATGCCCATTTCTGTGTCACTGCCCTATGATATTCTGTAGAGTGCTGTGCCACGAGTAGAATTTGCCCACATGATCCAAATCAGTGCTTCCCAAACTTGGGTCTCCAGCTGTTGTTGGACTACAACTCCCATCATACCTAGCTAGCAGGACCAGTGGCCAGGGATGATGGGAGTTGAAGTCCAAAAAAAATAATAATTAGGGATCCAAGTTTGGGAAACACTGATCTAAGTGATCTTACAGGTCTATACAGGGGCAAGGAGTCTTTTAGGCAACCTGCTCCTGAATTGTTGAGGGCTTTATAGGTTAATAACAGGTACCTTAAGCACGGCCTGCTAGCTGATCATCAGCCACTGCAGTTCCTTCAGCGCAGGTGTAATATGCACATCCAGGTGTTCCACTTGACAACCTGGCCACAACATCCTATCCAAGCTGCACCTTCCAGACCAATCCCAAGGGAAGCCCCACAAAGTGCATGCCTTTTATCCTCACGTTAATTCTCTGAGTTATGTTAGGTAGATAGGTAGATATGGAAGGTCTGCCCCAGGTTCAGCCAGTGAGATTCATGACCAAGTGGGGACCTGAACCCTCACGATTACAACACACTGGCTCTTAGTGTGGAGACAATGAAATGTACATGCGCTGATGTACAGAGTTTACGGCTGGATGTTCCGAGCCCATGCACACAAGGTTTGTTCCCACGACCAACTAAGTGTGTGTAGTTTGGGGCTGGCATTTGCCACTATGATCCCGTTTCCCTCTCTATATGGGTTCCGTTTATCCAGATTAGTGTTGTTTGTGAAACCATTCCAGGCTGGCTTCAGGTCTGGTTATGGCACTGAAACTACCTTGGTCACCCTGGTTGATGACATTTATCAGGAGAGAGGAGGGAGAAGTGTGAACCTGCTCACCCTCTGTGATCTCTTGATGGATTTTGATACTGTTGACCACAGTATCCCAGTTTTTGGATTCTACATGCTCTAATGGTGGAGATTGATACCGATGAACCGGACGAATAGAGATATGATCAATGGCTTGACAACATGACAATATTAGCAACATATGGACAAACTGCTTATAGATGCAGACTTTCACTAGATAAATATAATGATATTTGGAATGAGTTTATACAGAATATATTAGGTGGGGTTTTTTTATATGTATTAAATGTATTAAGATAATAAGTTATACACATCTTTATACTAATGTATGGAAATGTAACTGACTTCCCCCCTTCTTCATTCTCACACTTTTTTCTCTTTTTGGTCACTATGTTTTTATAAATGAAAATATTCTAATAAAATATAAATCACAGAAAGTCATCATGGGATCTCGTTTGTATCCAGAGGTACCACTATATTGTGTAAACCACCCTGGGACCATTCCTGCCCAGCCAAGAAATTAACAGTGTGACCTTGGGTCAGTCACAGTCTTTCAACCTAACCCCACCTCACAGGGATGTTATGAGGAGAAAATGAGGAGGAAGAGATTCATGTATGCCGCCTTGTGCTACTTGGAGAAAAGGTGGTCTATTAATATGATATACCTAGACAGCATCTTAAAAAGCAGAGACATCACCTTGCCAACAAAGGTCCATATAGTTAAAGCTATGGTTTTCCCAGCAGTGATGTATGAAAGTGAGAACTGGACCATAAAGAAGGCTGATCGCCGAAGAATTGATGCTTTTGAATTATGGTGCTGGAGGAGACTCTTGAGAGTCCCATGGACTGCAAGAAGATCAAACCTCTCCATTCTGAAGGAAATCAGCCCTGAGTGCTCACTGGAAGGACAGATCCTGAAGCTGAGGCTCAATACTTTGGCCACCTCATGAGAAGAGAAGACTCCCTGGTAAAGACACTGATGTTGGGAAAGATTGAGGGCACAAGGAGAAGGGGACGACAGAGGACGAGATGGTTGGACAGTGTTCTCGAAGCTACCAGCATGAGTTTGACCAAACTGCGGGAGGCAGTGGAAGACAGGAGTGCCTGGCATGCTCTGGTCCATGGGGTCACGAAAAGTTGGACACAACTAAACAACAACAAAAAATAGGAGGAGGAAGCTGACATCTCATGCCATCTCCTAGTCTGATGATAAGTGGGAAGGGAGGCAGACTGAGGTTGGTGGGGCAGTGCCCCATTGACCCTAAAGGACTAGTCTTTGCTGCTTATAGGCTGCCTCCAGGATTGCAAGCAGCAAGCCCCAGTGTTTGTCACACTACTGTAAACAGGATAGGCCTTTGGTCAGATCCAGCAAGACTTGTAGGTTATTAACTGGCAATGATTCTCCAAGGTTTCAAATGTGGTTTTTGTTTTCTTTGTCACTTCTTCTGCAAGAGGTTCTTTCTTATAAACTGGGGTGTGTGTGTCAGAAACTGAACCTGGGCCCATCCCAACACGAGCTGCAGCACTGTGCTGGAGACAGGAGGGGCATACTGCAATGCATTGTGCACAAGGCTATCCTTAAAAAAAAAAATGTTTGGAAACATCCACTAGTGAAAAATGTAAGAGCCCTGCAGAGGCCTCTGCATGATTTTGCTCTTGTGAGATCTCAGTGGACCCCAAAGCCACCACAGCCTCTCTTCTCCTCCCTTCTCTTGCAGAGGCATCAAGGGGTGCCTGCCCACCCAAGTGCCCTTTGGATTCAGCTGCCTGAGGCAGCGGCCTCCGTCTGCCTCATGGATGGGCCGGCATTCACCAGTGAAATTTCAGGCCTAAGTTAGTCACGTTCATTAACATTAAAAAAAACTATATTGGAAAATGTACTGTTGGAAAATAAATCAAGATAGCAGGGATAAAGGAAAATTCCTGATGTGAGGGAAGAAGTATGTAAAAAAACAACAACAACCATAGCCTAAATATTTGACCAAACTGCAGGAGGCAGTGGAAGACAGAAGTGCCTGGCGTGCTCTGGTCCATGGGGTCACGAAGAGTCGGACACGACTAAACGACTAAACAACAACAACAACAACAACAACATAGCCTAAATAGCAAGCAATTCAACTTAGCCTGAATCAGGTGCTTCTGCATACAGTGGCACACGACACACACACAAAGGTTCTCTGGGTGTCACTTTCCAGACAATCATTCTTTTTTTACTAGCATGCATGCCCTCCAAAGCAAGATCCATTGTTTGCTGCTGAATAAGATTATAAACGGCTTGGCTAAGTACTGCAGGAAATGGGGGCTTTTTGCAGTAAACAGCACCCTGTGACCCAAATATCACTTTCAGTGTATTTCTAGCTATATGCAATTAATGAACAAACACATCCAGTTACAGTAGCTAAGCTTCCTGCAGTCTCTTAGTCTCACACATATAATCATCTGATATAGGTCACACAATATATTCTTTTCTGCCCCACCTCCATGTTTGTGTGTGTGTTTTTATATATATATATATATATATATATAATCTCAGAAGAATTTGGACAACAAAAAAGAATGGTGATCGTGGATTTTAAAGCTGTGTCTTAGCTCAGCAGACAAAGACGACATCATTCCAGAGTGTCATATACCAGCATCAGCAGGGAAGCTAGGTATTTAATGTAGGGAAGCAGCAATCCGTGACCCTAATTAAGGTCTCCCTGGGCGTTCAAATGCACTCAAGAGAGCAGGAAAGGGTTCTGGAAATAATTATATTGCAGTGCACATCACCTTCTAAAAGCTGTTCTGTAAAGTCTCCCTTCTCTCAAAACCACAGACACACATTAAAAGACACTCATATAGAGCACGCATCCGTCCACAATAACCCCACATTGACTTTCGGAGTATATTTTAAAACAACCAGCTCAAGAAAAAAGATGGGTGTTAATTCAACAACCAAAAAACAAACAAACAAAAAAAGCTCAGATCCCATACGGCGAACCCTAGGCTTGTCCTGGTATTATCCTAACCTCACATGCCATCATATAGCTATGTAGTAAACAAAGCAGTTCATGTTTTTAACCAGAATCCGCAAGAAAGCGTTTCCCTTCCAACACCATGTCTATATATTAAAAAAGATGTCAATGTTTTTAAGCTAGCATGAATTAAAAAAAATATGTTTGCAGGCCAAAAGGTTTTGCATCAAAAGATAAAATAATCGGGATGGGGGTGAGAATAGAACCCACCTCTAGTTTTGAAACTCAGACAGCGATACTGATTTTGGACGCGTTGCGGGTTGTTTTTTCAAAGTCAGGGTTTTTGCACCTCCTGAACGCGCGCTCTCTCTCTTTCTCGCCCTCCCTGCCTTTCTGGTTATTTCCAGCATTATTTGCAAATTGCTTAAACCCTGCTCGCAAAACCCTGGCAGGCAGCAACTAGCAGAGCCCTCTCTCCGAACCCCTGACCTCTCGCGCGGGCTCGTCGGAGCTGGATTGCCCAGGCTGGGCTCAAAAGCAACCTGCTCAGAGGTAACAGCAGTGCCCCCACTTGGATCTCGTTTGCATCCAGATCAGCGCTCTGTATGTTAACTTCTCCAGTACCGACTCTTCCCTCCGGTGTGACGCCTCTTCGCCCCCAAGAAGGATGCTTCATAAAAGAGCGCCTATCAAAAGTACAGTACTCACCTTCAAGATCTCTCCAGGATGATGGTTCACTTCGCAGATCACAGTAGATCCCTCCGCTGATTAGCACTCATGCCCTCTCCCCCGCCACTTAAAAGTAACTCATTCACATGATACAATGTAATGGGGAGGGGGGTGATCAAAGTAACTCGTTTCCCCAAACAGGAGGTGGTGGTTGCAGCCTACGTGCAAGGCAGCCAATCAGAAGAGGGAGCATTGTGACGAATGACCCGGCCGCGCCAATCGATGCGTCTCCTGGGAGAGAAAAGGCGAGCGGCTCAGCGCTTTGATTCACCAATCAGATGGCGCGGAAAAGATTCTTGGGTGGAGCTGTAGGATTGGTCTGAAAGTCTCCAAAGGGGCGGGGGAAAAGAAAGGAGTGCAGTACAGTAACAGGCTGGTTGTTGTTGTTTTTATTAAAGGTACAGGCGCCTCTAAATTATAATAAATATTATCAATGCTGGTTAGAGGGTAACATAAATAGGGGCTTCTATCTTGAGACGGGGGATTTAAATGGCAACATCCCCTTTAAAAAGCAGGTTTTAATTGCGTGTTTTTTATTGCATAATTCAACAGTTTTAGTCAATTTGTGCCCATCTGCAATCAAAACAACCCCTAAACTTAGGAAACTGCATCGACTTGCATCAGTCTCTTATTACACTTGTCTTTTTTCTCTTTTCATCCCTTCCTTCTGTTTCCCACTCCTCACGTTTTATTTATTTGTTTATTTACATCCTGTCTTGCTTCGGAAGAGCTGAATGTGGTATGCACACTCAATTCATCCTCAAAACAACACTGTGCGGTAGGTTATTTTATTATTTATGTCATAAAATTAATACACTGCTTGATTGTTTTTTTTAAACACACACACACACACACGTTAAACTAATAAAGTTACAGATAAAAAATATTACGAACAAAAATTTTAAGCATTCAAAAATTAAAATCAACCATAAACTAAAAACAGGTTAAAACACAAATCAATATTCTAAATAGTTGGCTAGACTATATAGGCTAGGCTGAGAGACAGCCCCAGTCCAATGTCATTCAGTGTGTGCTTCATGGCTGAGTGAGGATTTGAACCCTGGTCTCCCAGGTCCTAGTCCAGTGCTCTAGCCACTATACTACACTGTCTCTCTGACAGACTGTCATATATCCTGACAATCCTTGTTTTGCCCTTGGCAAAAGTCCCTATTTTTCTGGCACTTGTCCCTGGTAGATTGCAGTGCTTCTATTTCCACTCTATTTCTGTGGGTAAAAAAGGTAAAGGGACCCCTGACTATTAGGTCCAGTCTTGGCCGACTCTGGGGTTGTGGCGCTCATCTTGCTTTATTGGCCGAGGGAGCCGGCGTACAGCTTCCGGGTCATGTGGCCAGCATGACTAAGCTGCTTCTGGCGAACCAGAGCAGCACACAGAAACGCCGTTTACCTTCCCGCTGGAGTGGTACCTATTTATCTACTTGCACTTTGACGTGCTTTCGAACCGCTAGGTTGCCAGGAGCAGGGACCGAGCAACGGGAGCTCACCCCATTGCGGGGATACGAACCGCTGACCTTCCAGTCGACAAGCCCTAGGCTCTGTGGTTTAACCCACAGGGCCACCCGCGTCCCCTTATTCTGTGGGCACCTTACTACAATTTTGTCAGAATAAGTTGCTAGACATGTCATTGTTAGGGTCCTCGCCTTCTCTTATTATTATTATTCTTTATTCAACTCATACACAACCCTATACCCGGAGGTCTCGGGGCTGTTACTAGCATCGCCAGAAGTTCAAACTCCGAGCCAGTGGCAATTTCAGCATTAGACGGAGTTTATTTTTATACCTCACCTTTCAGGTTACAAATCCTTCCAAGGTGGCTCGTGGCAAAATATGAAATAATAATGGTAATAAATATGGCTAAAAGCAATATCAGATACGATGGTGTTAATTAGCTGCCTACCCTCCCCTTTTCAGATAATTTCTGCCCAACCGCTCCAGTCTAGGAAAGATCCATCGAGGAACATAAATGCAGCAGTTGTTAATTCTGAGAGCAGATTCAATGGGCTGCCCCTTAAACAAAACCCTTGCCTCAGCAAACTCTAGCTAACCCAGCCTGCCATCCACATCCATGGATAGGGGGAAATTTATAGCGGCTGTCTGCAGAGAAAGCCAACTAAGGAAATAGCTGCAAACCTTTCGGAAAAGAACCTTGTCTCCGAAGGGGCTGTATGAGTAGATACACCCTGGTGCAGCTCTTGGGCTTCAGCATCGCTGCCCCTTTTTTGCACCAGTAAGACAGAGCGCAGGGTAATAAAGCCCATCAGATTCACTTAACCGTGAGCTGTTTGCTCTTTGCCATCTCCGAATGGCTTCCCCAGGCGGCACTGTTAGGACAAAAGATTGCCCAACAACAATTTTAAGAAGCATGGAGATGCTGATGAGACATTTTGCCCTGAGTGCCTATTTGCAACTGTTCCCAGGACTGCGTTTGGAGTGCATAATTCTCAAGGGAGCAGCCTTGTCAGTTTGAAAAGCTGCCTTGCATTAGGGGCCAGTCAGTTTTCCTTCTAGGCGAAATGAAATGTCAATTATCCCTTCTCAAGAGCACCTGATGATGTGGCCATATGTGTTACAGAAGGTGGGGGAGACCTCTAGATATTGCTGGACTCCATCTCCAATCATCTCAAACCATTGGCTAGGCTGGCTGGGACTGGGGGCAGCTGCAAACCACAGCAATTTAAAAAAATCCTGTTGAATCAAGCCAGTGGCTCATCTAGTCCAACATCCCATTCTCACAGTGGCCAACCAGATGACTGTGAGAAGCCTTCAAGCAGAACCTGAGCCCAAGAGCATTCTCCCCTCCTGTGGCCTCCAGCAACGGGTATTCAGAGGCATACTGCTTCCATCACTTGAGAAATCACGTAGCCATTAGGTTGAGTAGCCATTTATAGCCTTCTCCTCCATGAATTTGTCTAAACCTATTTTAAAACCATCCAAGTTGGTGGCCATCACTTCCTCCTGTGAGAGTGAGTTCCATAAGTTAACTATGCACTACATAAATAACCACAGAGCCTAGGACTTGCCGATCAGAAGGAAGGTGGTTCGAATCCCCGCGATGGGGTGAGCTCCCATTGCTCCGTCCCAGCTCCTGCCAACCTAGCAGTTTGAAAGCACGTCAAAGTGCAAATAGATAAATAGGTACCTCTCCGGGTGAGAAGGTCAACGGCATTTCCGTGTGCTGCTCTGGTTCGCCAGAAGCGGCTTAGTCATGCTGGCCACATGACCCAGAAGCTGTATGCCGGCTCCCTCGGCCAATAAAGCGAGATGAGCGCCGCAACCCCAGAGTTGGCCATGACTGGACCTAATGTTCAGGGGTCCCTTTACCTTTTTACATAAATAAGTACTTTCTTTTATCTGGAGGGCCCTGGCTTCTCCACTTCTGTATTAGAGCATTTTTGGAAGGAGCATCAACCTGACTGCTTTTGCCTGCTTCAGTAACCTTGTCAGTCCTGGCTGAGTTCTCCATTGAGGTAAGTTGACCTTCCTCAACCTGGTACCCTCCAGATGTTGTCACATGGTCATGGCGATGTCTTTCAGAATGTGAAATTCTCTTCCACGATATTGCTAAAGAATGTCAAACTGCGTTGGCTGTGTTTCGAAGTAGCCCAGATGCATTTCTGTTTCTGCCCATTCCAGGAAGCAGAACACCAAGATGGGGTTGTCATGAAATCTGTTCAGGATGTCATCAAAGAGAGTAGATATCAAAAAGGCATCCAGGCCCTTGACTTGCATATTGTTACGGGCCACTCCAATCTCTGCCAAATGGTGAGAGATTCCAGGGGTCTTCTTTAGAAAAACGAGGCACAGCGGAGACCGTAGTGTCTTTAAGATATATGGTTTTATTTACATATATATGCATCTTAGCCTCGGTGAAGGGAATGCAGAACAGTACGCCCCAAGTTTGTCTCTTGTTGCTTCTCCCATAGCTTCAGCAAGCTCGGGTCCAGAGCAGAAGCCAGCTCCCCAGTCTCCGGGTACAGCCTCTCCCAGGCAGCCCGCATGGAGTTCTGCCTCGCACTCCCTTCTCACTCTTTCCAAAAACCACATGCAGAAGGGCACTTTCCCCCTGTGGTGACATCATGCCCCTTGCACCCTTGGCAACCTGCCCCTCCCAACACTTTTGTCTCTGTCCATTACTCAGGGCAGGGGGAGCAACAATATTTGCTTTGTCAGTCATTCTTAATGGCCCATTACTCTGCTCTCTTTGTTTCTTAATGGCACTTCTATCAGGCAATCTCCTGAACAGGGAAACTGGTATAGCCTGTATTTTTACACTACACCTGGCATCTTCTCTTAATACTCCAGATATTAGCTAAATGCTAACATTTACTAAATTCAACAGTTTAAGCGGATCTGCCCTCCCTTCAACTCATAACATCATCCTGTAAGCATTCAAATACAGTGGTACCTCGGGTTACATACACTTCAGGTTACATACACTTCAGGTTACAGACTCCACTAACCCAGAAATAGTACCTCAGGTTAAGAACTATGCTTCAGGATGAGAACAGAAATTGTGCTCCAGCGGTGCGGCGGCAGCAGGAGGCCCCATTAGCTAAAGTGGTGCTTCAGGTTAAGAACAGTTTCAGGTTAAGAACAGACCTCTGGAACGAATTAAGTACTTAACCCGAGGTACCACTGTACTGGAACAATGGGCCTCCCCAGCCTTGACCTTGCTGCCTTGCCCCTGCACTGTCCAGGTTACTGGCAGTGATGCTGTTGTTGAGAGGACAGCTCCACCCCACTGCCTCACCACCTCAGGACAAAGGCAGACACAACAAAGCACTGCGTTGCCAACTTTAAATGGCATTTCTCCTCCGCCTCCATGGCTGCAAGCACATTGCCATTAAATATAGAACCAGGAGCACACTTTCACATGCAAAATGACTGAGAAGGCACAACAGATGGCACTGGAGATGGAAATCTGCATCTGCTCTCTGTAAGAGCTGCTAATGGGGAACTAATTAGGCATTCACAAGGAGTGTTCCCCCTTGACTTTGGGACAATGGCCATGTTTATATGATGGGGGAGAGCCTCTAAGGAGGATGTTGAAAGTAATCAAAGATTGACATTGTGTTTGGGCCAAATCACACTGATAGCTTAAGACTAGCAACTGCATTGCTTTGAAATGCATCCAGTCTTCCCACGCAACACAAATGAGGTTTATTTTATTCTTTGGGGTGGGGGCAGCAAAAGGGTAGCCCGCTTCCAAGGGAAATATTTTAGCATAATCATTCCCTCTGCGGTGGAAAACAGCCTCCATTCTTCTACAGACACTTCTTCCTTTCTGATATCAGTTCCAGATAAATTACTTAAATTAAGGCTTCATCCACACAGCACTTTATTCCATTTCCCTGATGTTTCCCTGTTAATTTCAACATTATATTTGAGCTTTGGCATGGTATAAGAGCCACTTTTGGAAATCTAGTGGAATACAGTGGATGTTTAGCACTTATTTCTGTGTTGCTAGCTTCCAGGGAAAAAATTAAATCTGTTTGCAGCCCCCTTAACCCAGAACATCATGGGACTTAAGTGATGAAAGGGGCAGTATGCCAACATACAGTTATTTCCTGCCATTTTCATGGGTGAATCATGGGGCAACAGAAGTAGGCATGTGCGGTAAGGGAGTGGAAGTAGTGAGATTCTAAGACCAGGGGTAGCTAACACCTTCCAGGTGTTGTTAAGACCCCAACTCTGGCCAGCATGGCTAATCATCAAGGAAGATGAAAAGTGCTGCCTGACAATATCTGGAGAGCCAGAGGATAGTTGCCACCTTGATCTTATGTGATCAGATTTTATGTTGCTGTTTTTTTTAAAGGCTGTGGAGGAAAAATCTATTTATTGCATCTTGCTTTTCTGTCAGCTGGCCCTAAATCAAAAGAACCAGTCAGGGTGGACTGCTGGCAACTCTTACCTTGATGAATTTATTTGTGTACTTCTGCAGCTCATACCTTTAGGGGGATTTCCCTTTTGCTACATGATGAAGGAATTCTTATTTACTGGAGAGAGCCCTCTAGTGAAGGGAAAAAATCCTAGTCTGAAACTCACAATTTAGAGGCTATTTCACACTGGATTCTCTAAGCTGCAGGTATGCTTGGGAACACAACTTTTTTTCTGGGTAACTGGTGCCTGATGCAATTACTTTGTCATTACTTTGCTGCTTCCACTGTGGCTATGATTGGAAGCACACTTAGAGGGAAGCAATAGACATTAGGAGGAAAACTTGATTTCATATTAAGATGTAAGAGCTTTCTGTTTCTTCAAAGGCGTAGGCTGAAACAAAACCCAGCTTTACAAATGCAAATGCGCAAACAAACACTCTGGAACATTAATAAAACAAAACCTCACCAATCTTTGGGGCAGAACATCGTAATGTAAGTTGCTCCAATGTTACTCAGCCTTGCAGAGCAATTCCATATGTGCCATAAGTAAGCCAGAGTTCAATGGGGCTTACTCCCAGGTAAGTAGTGCAAGGCATCTTCCAATGGAAAGATTGGGTTGTCATATTTCAAACTCTGAAAATCGGGACAGAAAAGTTGGGCTTTTTAGAGGCCTAAATTGTGGAGCTTTTTAAAGTTTTGCCCAAAATTATTTGCCCCAAAAATGAAGTTTCGGAGCTATTTTTAAAGAAAATCAGCAAAACCAACACTACCGACATGGTTTGCCATACGTCCGGATTTTCCTGGATGATTTCTGCCTAGACACTGCTTCCAACTGCGGTATTCCGGATATGTTTGGGAAATTCTGGATACAGTGGTACCTCCTGTTGCATAAGGGATCCATTTCAGAACTCCAGTCAGATCCCAAGGAATTTGCAATGGAGGTGCCACTTCTGCACATGCGCGTGGCACCTAGAGCACTTCTGTGCATGCGTGTGCGGCGAAACCTGGAAAAATACTTCCGGGTTTGCCGTGTTCGCATCTTGAAGGATACGCAACCAGAGGTGTGCGTATCCAGAGGTACCACTGTATATGGTTCAATCCTTGACGTTTCCTGGTAGGATTGGAAGAGACGCCTGTCTGAAAGCCTGGATAGCTGCTGCCAGTCAGTGCAGACAATATGGTGCAAGATAGACCAATGGTTTGACATTCTATAAGGCGTCTTCTTGTGTTCCTATGACACTGGTCTTCAGTTGGTGGATCAGAACCCACAGCTGGTTATCAGCTGATGTAAGGTGGGTTACACCAATAACACCACAACATGTGACTTCCCCTCTCATCACAAGGGAGAAATAGAAAAGACAGGGAGAAGTAGAAAGGCGGGGTGGATAAAAAGTTATATAGAACTAATATAATTTTCAGCTGTCATTATTTCCGCCACAAATACAAGGACTGGTAGTCTGGTGTGGTTGCTGTGATATCTGACTCACAACTGCTGATTTAGGTTACACAAAGATGTTTGTGATGTAACAGGGTTTTTTAAACAGGGTTCTATACAGTCCCTGGCAAAGATCTAAGCACAGACCTGCATCAGGGTTTATCTAGTTCAAAGGAAGACAGGGAAGGAGAACTGTAGCTTGGTATGGGTGCTGTGATGTCTGAATCTCAACTACTGATTCAGGTCACACATAGGTGTTTGTAATGTACAATATTTTTTTTTTAAAGGGGATTACATACAGTTTGTGGCAGGGCTCTAAGCACAGGCCTGCAGCAGGATTTATCTAGTATAAAGGAACGGAGTGAGAAGCCTGGAGACTGGGCTTTTTCTCAGGACAGCGTGGTGGGATAGTGCTCATTTAATTCACTGTGCCTGACTACAACACCTGCTAAAAATCTCACTAGAGACCTCTATTTCTGCCCTGAGCTACAATCCTCAGGGTTCCCTAGGAAGAAGGCACAACTTTTCTAATTTGTTTTTTTTCTTTTTCTTTTTAAAAATTTATTCCAAAACCAAAAAAGAATTACAAACATCAAATTCAATATCCATATTAGTTTTATAACATAAGCCTATTACATAGTTGACTAGATTAAAATATACTTAATTGCTATAGACTTCCCTTTCCTATATATAAATGCAATGCAATTAGAAATATTATATTAGAATTTTTTATAAATTCCCTTATACCACCCCTACTCCCCTCCACCCATGTGTGATCTCAATTCTTCCATCTTGTTGTGTTGTTGTCAATTATTCAATTGATTCTTTTATTGTTTCCTTTATTATTCCATGCACGTTTAACACATTATCTATTAATATTCCAGTTCCGGAACCACATTTTTTCATGTATTCCTTCACTCCATCCCAACTTTTCTAATTTGGTTTGAAAAGTGCAAATATGGCAGGTTTTCCTTTAAATGCAAACTGAATAAAACTTCTCCCCTATATCTAGCCGCGAGGTCATGGAAAATTCAAAGACCACTAATTCAGGGCGTTGCTATGCCCAGAACCAATTTTGCAGGCCACCCTATCATTTCCTCCCCTTGCTCAGCTTCAGCTATGCTCATGTTCAGAGGTCTTATATTGTTATGACAATGCTTCCCTTTCTTTCCCTCTCCCACATCTTTAATTGATCTCCTTGGTTTGCACTTAATTACAAGGTGCAGGCTCTTCCACTCTGCTGACCATGGCGTGGGAGCCAGCAAGAGCAGGAGGATAATGGGCCCCACTCCTCACGCTTTGCACATTGGCTGCTTTGTTTGCCTTCCCAGCCGCTGATTTCTTAAGGAATGGTTATTAAACACAAAAGGAACACATCCATTAACGGTGCTGCAATGGAGAGCAGGGAAGGGCCCCTGAGAGGTACCAAAGGAGGGTATGGGCAATTGGGTGGGCAGTGAACATGTTCTGCATGGATGGAAGCAGAGTTGTTGTTCATTCAGCACTTATTTATGGGACATCATCTCATCCGGATCTGTTCCACTTAAGTGCTGATCAAATTGAAAATCTAGGTTTTTTAGCATGCCTGCCATGACATCAAATGTGCGGCAGTCCTTTAAAAAAGTTTTACAAAATTTATTGCACCCATTTTAAAGATGAGAAGGGCACCATGAGCTGTGAACCCACAAGCCATTGTGATAGTTGTGGGTTCTTCCTGTCAGCTCCAGCCTAGGTTGCATCAGGGCACCCTAGAGAATTAAGAGAGAGAGAGAGAGAGAGAGAGAGAGAGAGAGGTGGTAGAGGAGTGGGATTCAGTTCTTTATGGGCCTGCATGAATATCTGGATGCTTTTTTGTCAATTTCTTGAAGGCCAAGAGTTTCAAAGACTGGACATTGTGACAGAAAAATATCTACGCTCTTACAGCCATAATCTGTTTGTTGCTGAGTTAGCCAGGGCTCAGGGATGGAGCTGTGCTTTCTGGGCAATGGTGATGCCTCTAAAATTCTCCCAGTAGCACAACTCAGCTGCAACTAGGGACGGATAAATATGTCAAGATTTGTTTCTCTCAGGTTCTCATTTTCCCAAGCTTAAATTCAGATCTCCACATTTCCATATCAGTCTGCATTAAAAACATAATGAAAATTCATCGGGATTTTAGTGTGAATCTTTTGCAAAGCAATTTCCCATAATATAATGCATCTGGTATGTTATTTTCACTAATATATGCATTTCTAATGCATTCTTTAGCACGTGCACTTTTGTACAAATTACTTGGCTGGAGAACTGCATTGCAAAATTCAGGAAAGTGCAAGTTTAGAAGGATGGTTGTGTTCTGATCCATGTAATGTTTCAGAAAGTAGAAATTGGGTAAATTTGCCTCTAAACAGGAACTGACTCAAATTCCTTCTTCACCCTTAGCTGTGACACTGGACTACCCTGGGCAATCCCACTGGATCTTTACTTCTTCCTTCAAGAGGATGGCAGCAGGGGTCAATGCTGCCTTGGAGCTCCTCACTCTGAAAAGCATAGAGTGAATATAACTCCAAACACGGTGATCAATTTTTCCCAAGGCATCCTTCATCTCTTCTTGTGGCACTTCAGTGCACTGTGGCAAACAAGTCTGGGGTTTGCTTAGTTCAGGGCTTGTGTCACAGTGCTGTCTGGTCCCTATTGTTCAACCTATGACGATGGGAAACCTGTGGCTCTCCAGATGTTGTTGGATCACAGCTGCCACCATCCCTGACCAATGGCCATGTTGGCAAGGGATGATGGGAGTTGAAGCCTGATGACATCCAGGGGGCCAGAAGGTTTCCCCATTCCTTGTTGTTGTTTAGTCGTTTAGTTGTGTCCGTCTCTTCATGACCCCATGGACCAGAGCATGCCAGGCACTCCTGTCTTCCACCGCCTCAAACTAATGCTGGTAGCTTTGGTCAAACTAATGCTGGTAGCTTCGAGAACACTGTCCAACCATCTTGTCCTCTGCCGTCCCCTTCTCCTGGTGCCCTCAATCTTTCCCAACATCAGGGTCTCTTTGAGGGAGTCTTCTCTTCTCATGAGGTGGCCAAAGTATTGGAGCCTCAGCTTCACGATCTGTCCTTCCAGTGAGCACTCAGGGCTGATTTCCTTAAGAATGGATAGGTTTGATCTTCTTGCAGTCCATGGGACTCTCATGAGTCTCATTCCTTATTATAGCATAATTGTCCATGTTGCATTGGTAATGAAAATCAAGCAGCAGGCCCCTACACCACAATATCCACAGGGCTGGATAACCCATGGTCCTTGACCTAATTTCATGCAGGTGAGTGTGGAGAGAAGGAAGGTAGATGGAAGGAGGTGGGCCAGCTGTTCTCTCCATCCCACCTCAGCAGTCAGCAGAGCAGGAGAAGAAGAGAGCAAAAAGTGGTGGTCCTGCACCCTAAAAACAGATTCTGGCACTAACCCCTGGTAAGCTCTGGCATACATACTATAGGGCAAGGGTGGGGACCTTTTTGAGCCTGAGGGCCACATTCCCTTCTGGGCAATCTTCTGAGGTCCACATGGGTGGGGCCAGAGGCAAAAATGGGATAGCCATGGATGTTATTTTACCTTTGTGCAGTAAGCTAATTTCTACATGCGTCCATTTCTGTTTTCCATCCAGGCAAGCAAAAGGCAAGGCTGGAGGTCAAGGACACATTCCAGCCAGGCAAAAGCACTTCAGGAAGGTACTGGTGAGGGGCGTGGCTGAGGAGATGCAGCCTAGGGGCAGAGTCCACAGGGCCAGATAGAGAGGTCTGGGAGGCCACATTTGGGTTGGACGTTCTCCATCCCTCCTCAGGGGAATGCTAAGTTATCACATCTCCATGCAGGTCTTCAATTCTGCTTCCAAGTCATTTAGCCATGAAAAAAACAAAGCCCTGTGAAGCTTTTGCTGTATTGTGACTGATCTGTAGGTGTCGTTGTAGCTCTGTGCTTGTGGATGAACAAGAATGCCCAGCCGTTCCTATGGCAACAAGTTTACTGATGGAAGGCTTCAGGGTGCTTTATTTTGGTTGAGGACCTCCACTTCCCTCCCTCCTTCCCCCCTCCATTCTCTTTTTTCATGAGTCAATTAGGGTGTCTGCTTCCTCGAATGGGAACTGTCGCTGATGTGCGACTGTCAGACAGGGAGAAAATGGGCCAGACACTGTCCCAAATGGGGTGCGTGTCAGGAGACTTCATAAGGTGAAAACTGTCTCTCCGAACACAGCAAGAGGGCAGCCTCTTTATGTGACAAATTGTCCCCCTCATGCTTCAGATTTGGTCAGGGCAAGGTAACAATGGTGTCTGGATGAAGGGTTGTGAGACGTGGCACTTTGGTCTCTGAACTTGATAGCTGGGAATCTATGATGCTGCTGTTTTTCTCCCCCAAATCCCTCAGCGTCCAGCACACAGCCTGTCTTCCCTCAGGAGTGCAACTGGAAGGAGATAATTCTCTCTAGGGCTAACAACCCAATTAAAGCAGTAAATCCACCACACGCATTTTAATGGATGAATTAAATGTGCGTTTGACAACAAACAGTTCAAGGCGGATGAAATAGTGTGTGAACATCATGCCAGGGAGGCAGCTAATGCCATCTTGAGAGCGCCACTCCCAAGAAGATTCGGACTATCATTAGGCCGAGTGAGGCAATTTCCTCAGCAGTGGTGGCTGGTTCCCACAAGGACTGGTAGGGTGGAAAGCAGGGAGCTCAACAGTAGGTGGTGCCAGAGCCAATGGCAGATGGAGCCAACTAATTCTTTCCCCATCCTCCTCTCTGATGAGTTCTACAAGGCACAACACTGAGACCAAGGGGAAGGAAGCTGACATGCATTGCCACCTCCTGGACTGGTTGTAAGAAAGAGGGCAGGTGGGTGGGGGCTGACTGAGGGAAGGATGAGGTTCTGGGGGCAGTGCTCCATTTGTCCTAATGGACCAGACTCCACTGCGCTTTTGGTGGCAGATCTGAAAGGCAGAAATAGTTGTCCCCCCAGCTATTTCCCAGAGCGATGTATTTCCCAGGCCTGCTATCCAGCCTCTAAACTAGACTGCTGGCCTCAGGTATGCTGGAGAAGTAAGGTTCAGCTGCCTCTCCAGTCAGCTTCTCCACATGGAATGTTGCCTCAGGCAGCAAAATGTCTTGGGCATGGCTTGCTTCTAAGATGGCACCATTTTGCTTCCTTGGGTAGGATAGTGATCTGTGTCCACCCCTTCCCCAAATTAAGCTGCATCTAAGGCTGGCCAAGTTACATTGCCACCTGAGGCAGAAAACCCCACCAGGGCTTCTCTGCCCGACAGTACAAATTCAATACAATACTTATCAATGAAATCACTAACAGTTTGCTGCCCTTTCATATCATTTAAAAGCAGCTGCCTGGTGGTCCTTTATATAACCTGAGATTGGCCTCAGAGGCTCTGTTGTATGGTTTGCCCACAGGTTACGGTTTGACAAAGGCAGGGCCTTTTCAGTGATAGCCCCTCATCTTTGCCCAAGAATTTTGTCTCTATTGCTTTAGAGTTTTAAGCAGTCTCTAAAGACCTTACTGATTTACCACGTTTTGATTGTAGATGGATGTCTTGCTGGCTATATGATGCATGTATGCACACATGACAAATTGAGCACATTGCTGGCGTTCGTATATAATGATACACATAGGTGCACATGTTTGATTCTCTCATTCGTGTAAGAAAACAACATGTTATGTGTTATCCTGATAGAATGATAATCTAAGCACCTAGTTAGCTCTCAGTCTTCAAAGTGCTTCACGTCCATTCCCTTGTTTTTATAACTAATGACAACCTTGTAAGGTAAGTCCTTATTAATATCCCCATATTGCAGATGGGAAACTGAGGCTGAGAGAGAGAGAGCGTAACTTGCTCTAAGGCTATCTAGCAAGTTCATGGCACAAGTGAGATTTCAAACCGGGTCCTGCCTGAGTCATAACTTTGCCTCTTAGCCATGGCTGCATTTTCAAAAATACAACTGGTTTCTTGCCGGGGCAATTAGAGTTAGATTGATGTCACACCTTGCCGCATGTAAAAACCACTTATCCAAAGAAGTGCCACACATACAATCATGAGAGCAGGCTGCCCTGACTCCAAGCTATTACTCAGTGATGACTGGTGCCGATAAGGACAGAAAATGGAGGGTGTTACTTGGCAAGATTTTCCCTGAGTGTGTGTTTTGGAAGTGCTTTTCGCAAAATGCCATCCCAAAGTGTTGGCAAGCAGAGTGGGTTGAGCAGGGGCAAGCAAATTTGTCAATTTCTATATCAGTTTCCCATTTTTCTAATGCTCCATTCAGTTCATTAACATTTTCATTTTTTAAAAAAAATGATATTTATTAAAGTTTCCGATAAAAAAAGGGACACATCAGTAAGAAAGAATTAAAAGTAAAAAGAAAAATACACAATACAAAAATACACAATACAAAATACAAAAAAAAGACAAAAAAGAAAACAGTTAAAAACAATACCACCTTTCCATCACCACTTTTAAATTTACTTATTTTCTGGACCTCCTCATACCTCCCTCTTTTGTATTCCAGTTCAATTTGTTTGTCCAGCAATTTCTTTCCCTCTTTTTTAATCCCAATCCTTAATCTTAATATAATATAACATTAAATTTTTACCTATTAAAAGCCAATTTTCCATTTCTTTTAACTTTTTTAATCCTAATCCTTAATCTTGATCTATATATAACTTTAAAGCCTGTACAGCTAGAAGCCACTTAATTTCAATCCAACATCACTCTAACATTCTTTAATTTTGCAATGTTTCTGTAGATACTCTTTAAATTTCTTCCAATCTTCTTCCACCGACTCAGTTCATTAACATTTTCATATCCATATGCATTTTTTTAAAGTCCTCGTGAAAATCCATCAGCATTTTAATGCAAATTTCTCCTATTATACACACCGTTATTTTATTTTATTTATTTATTTTCTATACCACCCTCTACCCAAGGATCGCAGGGCAGTTTGCAATATAAAAACACAAAAATGCATATCGTGATAACAAACAAAAACAACATTGGACTCAGCTATACAGCTGCACATGTACTGTTTTAAGTGAATTATACTAATGTGGCACTAGATGACGAAGGTGAGCTAATGGCAAATTCAATATATATTTTAAAACATTTTTAAAAAAAGCATTTTCACAGTGTTTTTTATATATGTGTAGATTCCGCCATTCCGCCCCCCCCCCCGCCCCAGTTTAAAAGGCCATAGATTGCTTACTTAGCCAAAGGCCTAGGAACTGTTTGAAGCGTTCTTGGTCCAAATCAATTCTTAGAATTGGGCCCAGAAACTGATCAACAACCAGTGCAGTTTTCGCCAGGATTGGTGTTATGTGCTCAAATAATTGTGCCCCAGTGAGTAAGCTGGTCGCTGAATTCTGCACCAGCTGAAGTTTCTAAACCATCTTCAGAGGCAACTCCACATATAATGCATTGCAGTAATCTAGCTTAGAGGTTACCAGAGCATAGATGACAGAAGTTAGGCTATCCCTGTCCAGATAGGGGCATAGCTGGGCCACCAGCCGAAGCTGATGGAAGGCACTCCATGAGGAGATTTCACCCCTCCCATATCCAAGAATCTCCTGAGGAGTCTGCTGATTCTCCAGAGAGGAGGAGGCGTGTTCTGTTCTCTGCTTATTCTGCTCCAGCACCAAGTCAGTCAGTCAGTCAGTGTCGGAGAGAGAGAGAGAGACTGAGTGTTAGAGATCGTGTGTAGCGATAAGGTTGCTGCTAAGAGCAGCTGCAGACACTCAGTGCAGTGCAGCATTTATTTATGCTTAGACCTATTTAGCTCTGTATATAGTTGTATAATAGTTGTAGATAGAATAAAGAAGATATTCTACAGAGCTGCTCTCCGAGTTGTTTATAAACTCTGCTAGACTCTGCTGTACTCTGCTGTGCGACGACTGTCTTCTTGTGGGAGTGAATCTCTAAGCTGTGAGTCCACAGCACTTTGACCTGTTCCTGTGCAGAAGGTGGTCTCTGGAAGTGCTACCCCAGCTCGCCTGGCCCAGTCAGGGCTGAAGTGGATGAGTCCAGTTGGTGGCACTGGCTCAAGGGCGATGCTGACACTCCATGCCATTGAGGACAACAGAGCGTCAAGCGACAGCAAAGGATCTAGGAGTACTCCCAAGCTATGTACCCACTCCTTCAGAGGGAGTGTACTCCCATCAAGAGTAGGCAATCTCTCATCCATCTGGTCTGGGGAATTACCTACTAACAGTGCCCCAGTCTTATCTGGATTGAGCTTCAATTTGTTGGCTCTCATCTAGTCCATTACTGAGGGAAGACAATGGTCCAGCACTTCCACCGCCACACCTGCAGATGAAAAGGAGAACGAGAGCTGTGTGTCATCAGCATATTGCTGACAACATACTCCAA